GGGACACAATACTCCAGAATATCACTGTCCTACTTGCTTCAAGGGTTTTCAAGCTGGGCTCCCATGCCTTTAGCAGACAGGAAGAAATTCAGTAGGTGAAGCTTTCCCCATCACATCACTTCTATGCTGGCAACAAAAGTTTAACTGCTCAGTTTATGCATCCTATGAAACTGTTAAGGGGTAAGAAATCAAGTAAGGGGAGAAAAACGGACAACTTTACTTCTGAGATTTTCAAAATGCTAGCTTGGGTGGTTCTATATACTTTTAAATGTTTGGCATCTTGATTGCCATTTAGGATTGTCTGCAGTGCAAAAACAAGTATACCCTTCAAGTGCTGGTAGCAGAATGTTCTCTGTGCACAGCATTTGATTCTGGAAATTGTTTTATAAAAATATGAGTCAAAGCCAGTCAAAGCCGCTTTCCTCAGTGAACTGGCCAAGGATCATGTTTGTCTCCATCTGTGTAACCACATAACACAAGTATACTTGAACACCATTAGTGTTATTTATTCCAATGAACACAATGATTGCCGTTATTGCTGTAATCCATAATACGCATGACAACAAGGCAGCACTGCAAGAATACAGGAAGCTCCCTTGTACAGTGTTAGACCATTGGCCCACCTGGCTCAGCAACTACTTATACTGACTGGCAGTGGCTTCCCAGGGGTCTTTTCCAGCCCTACCTCAACCTAGATTGAACTTGGAAACTTATGCATGCAAAACATCTCCTCTAACACTAACTTGCAGCCTTTCTTCCAAGGAAACATAAGCTATAGCACTGGCATAGTTAAATCCTTATCATCAATCAGCTCACCTTTCTGCATTAATTACAGCTCCTTTGCCTTCCAAAATATGGTCCCCTCTATGCCGTGGTTAGCACAGCATGCCAATTTGGTTTCACTGCCTCATTTTGAGAGGTGTGAAAGGATTTTGCCATATAGATCAGAACACCATCTTCATTCATTCATAGTAGAGACGAAGGATTAAGGTACCATATTTTTGGCTCTATAAGACTCACTTTTTCCCTCCTAAAAAGTAAGGGGAAATGTGTGTGCATCTTATGGAGCGAATGCAGGCTGCGCAGCTATCACAGAAGCCAGAACAGCAAGAGGGATTGCTGCTTTCACTGTGCAGCAATCCCTCTTGCTGTTCTGGCTTCTGAGATTCAGAATTTTTCCCCCTTGTTTTCCTCCTCCAAAAACTAGGTGCGTCTTGTGGTCTGGTGCGTCTTATAGAGCGAAAAATACGGTATGCTACGGTGCATATCAGAGCCTATTCTGACCAACAGGTATGCATTGGGCAGAGCCGTAGCTATGCGGGGGGGGGGGCTGGGTTTTTTTAGCCCAAGTAGGGCCTCCAGAGGGGTGCCAGCCTATGTGTGTGTGTACACAAATGTGGGGGGGGGGGGGCGGAGTGCCAAACTGCATCTTTGATCTGGCTGAAAGAAAGCCTAGTTTTGCCCCTGGCATCAGGAAAGGGCAGGAATTCAGATTATAGAGATTTTCTAGTCACAGGATTATTCCTGTTGGTGCTCCCAAGGCCTAGCTTCTTGCTGGGAAAGCCTCTCCTCCTACCAGAGGGGAGAAGTTGTGAGCGGGAGCCGGTTCCCACGTTGGCAGGGGAGGTGTATTTGGCCCCCTGCGTCAGTTATCCCGGCTGCCGCACGGCGCCCTTCAGCTAGCCAATAGGGCTGGCTTGGGGGCGGGGTTTAGCCGCATTTAAGCCGGCCACAGCAGCGCACTGCCCTCGCAAGATCCTGTGACATCAGGGTAAGCTTCCAGTTGTATTTGCATCAACAAGCTCCACCCATTGGTTGTTAACCCTTGAATGACTCCCCACTGACCAGGATGGAGTCATGTATAGATTGTTTGATCCAATGCCTAAGCCAATACCACTCACATGCTGTAACCAATAAAGTTGTGGCCTTCTTTAGCCCATTAACCTAAAATACATGTGTTCTTGTGTCTTATTTATCTCTAAGCGGGTGGCGGGTCCTTGACTCACAACCAATCAATGCAATACATGTAGATGCCTTTCTTACAAAACCTTTTCAATTTAGAAAAGGCGGCAATTCAGATGCGCTACACATTAACACATTTCAGATGTGAGGTTCAGTTGCAATTTCCTTATGGGTGAGAGCACCTCTGTTCTGCTGCCGGCCCTAAAGAACTGACTGCTCCCCAAGTCATGTTTCAAGGAAAGTATGTGGGACTGCCTTTGAAGGCGGTTTGGAAAATGCAGCTACTGCAAAATGCAGCTGCCAGAGTTTTGATGGGCCTAATGGTACAAAACCATATGACACCAATGCTTAAACAGACACCACTGGCTGCTTATTTACTACTGAGACCAATTCAACTTGGCTGTGAGTTCTGGAAGACCTGCAACCTGTTCTCTGCTTTGCAGACCTTTTCCCACCTGGCCTGGGAAGCTGCGGCCCTGACTGGCTGTCTCTTAGTGTAGACCCAGGACACTGAGTGTGAGCTTTTGTAGCTGCTGCCTGCCATGAAACACCACTGTCAGGATTGGCAGCAACAACAGCAGATATTTTAATATATTGTAACCTGCTTTGAGATGGCTTCTTAAAAATATAAAGCAGTATAGAAATGAAATTAATAAAAATAATAATAATACACAGCTTAAAGCCTAATTACATGAAGGAACACCTCTTCCTCTGAGATCTGTTGGGGAGGCCCTTCTGCTACTTCCAACGCTTAGTGACTCATCAGAAAGCCTTCTCAACAATAGCACCCGGGTTATGGAGTACACTTCCCTCAAAGAATCAGCTGTTGCCGATTTTTCAGTGCCAGAAGACTAGCAATTTTCCTCAGGCCTTTCAAACACTAAGGAACTGGCCTGCAGAGTGATATACTGACAGATGGTTGAAGTTTTATTTAACTATACTGAATGGTTTATTTTGTTTTAATGTTTAACTGTTTTATGTTTTATAACTGTTATATCCTGCCCATCTTCAAAAGTACCCAGGCTGGATAAGTCTCAAACACAAATTGATTAAAATAGCAACCATAGTCCATGTTGTATGGATATTAGTCAGAGAAACCTAAGTACCGACTTTCTGGATCAAACCAGGCCCACCATTTTCATTCTAGCAATAGCCAGCCAGATGCAAGGAGGTGCTCACAAGCAGCGTATGACAGCAAAACACATCATTTGTTGGCTGTACCTTCCTGTGCTCATGGAAGCTGGGATAGCTAATTGTTGTAATTATTCCCCATGAATTTCTCTACTTTTTAAAAAAGGATCATCTAGTGATAGTGAAACCAAATTTGTGATTGTGAATTCAGTACGTTGGATTAAGTGTTGAACACAATACAACCTTCCTGAACCTGCAGCCGGCCAGTTTCATTGGGTGACTCTGAATTCCAGTGTCATGTTTTTATGCATGTTAGGCAGATGTGTCACAGGTGGCCTTTAAGGGCAAGTCTCCATTTTTCGAAAGATTTTTGAAAACATTTTTTAAAACTCAGCATTTCCCAGGTGATAACTGGTGCATTACAGAACAAAAATTCTATTATATTTGCAAGGGGCTACAGAGAAGGTATGTGTATGCAGCGAAACGAAAAGGGGTATAATTTAAAATTTTCACCTGCTGCAACACCCACGTGTGTAAGGCTACCCCAACCAGTAACTCGCCCTGCCCAAAAGTGCTATCCATACTTTGTATTATGGCTGGTTTCAGGTCCAGCATGAATGGGTCTGGTTCCTGCATGCATTCCTTGGAGTGAGTGGGGCCGACTCCTTTGCATGAGTAATCTTGACCAATCTGCGGTCAACATGTCTTTCTGCAAAGCACCTGTCCTTTTGCCCGTGGCACCCCATGATCCAGATGGCATACAGGTTGACCTAAATCTACATCTTTGCGATAGCAGGCAGAATGGAGGAGGGGGAGGGGGGGAGAGAGAATGTGAAATTATGGGTCACAGCGGCTTGCGTACTGCCAGAAGTGGCTTGTTGTGATGTCCTATCATGCAGCGCAGTCCCAAAACTGATACAGTACCAAATTTGCACGGGCCCATTTTCAAACCTTTTCCTGTTTTGATTCCCAGGGTTACGAAGGACCGTTGGGGGATGGCGCTGGGGATGGAGGGGGGCGAGTTCCGCCTGCGTTTGAGTAGCGCCAAATCAGGCACAAAATAATCTGGAGAGCCAGCCCAATCCTCTCTCTCTGCAAACCCTCCCGCAGGGTTTCGCCCTGGGGATCGCTGGCCAAGGGAGCCTTCTTCCGGAGACGGGCTTAAGGCGAGCGATTAGAGCCGAGCAATTCGAGCCAAGGGAAAACGAAGCGGCCCACCTCTCGGCGTGCGCCTGCGCGCGCCCAACTCCTGCTCCTATACACACGCACACATGCACCCGCTCCGTCGCTGCTCTGGCGCGGCTGTTGCGGCGCGGAGGGAGGGAGTCGGCGAGCCAGAAGCTGGGCGCGGAGGACACAAAGAAGCGGCTCGCGGGCAGCGGCGCAGGGCTTAGGGACGAGACGGGAGAGAGGCTGCTGCGCTCCTGAATGGAAGCGCCGCTTGCGCAAAGAAGCGCCCTCGGATTTCTTACTCTGCCTGGAAATCGCGGCGGGGAAGAGGAGGCGGCGGCGGCGCAGGAGACCAGGAAGGAGGCAAGCAGGCTCCGCGATTGCTCCAGGGATTGAAATGCTGCTGCCGAAGGGAAGAAGTTGCTTAGCATCCCCCGCGCTGACCTCGCTGCTGTAGCCGGAGGAGAGCGATGCTGCAACGAGGCGCGGCGACCGCGTACCCGGCTGCTCCCCTGCAAGCGGAAGGCGCCCAGGACCCGCAGCAGCCCTCGCGCCTGTGAAGCGGCAGCCGAGGGCGAGCCACAAGAGCCCCAGCGGTTCTGGGTCCCTCGTCGGGCTCATCGTCGACTACGCGCCGCCGCCGCCGCCAGCGGCGCTTGGGGGCCGGCGTGCTGGAAAGCCTGTGCCCGCCCCGGCTGGGATCCGCGTAGCAGCAGCAGCTTAGTGGATGTGTATGAATGAGTTCTGCACCGAATGGGCGCAAAAAGCGCCCCAGGTCCGCGGGCTCGATCTTCCAGATCAGCAAAACGCCGCTGCACAGCAGGGACGGTGAGCGCAGAGGCAGCGCCTCGGAGGGCGCCCCCAAGACCCAGAGACTAGCCGTGGATGACTGCAAGATGGTGGGTAAAACGCAACGGCTCTAACCCCCCCCCCCCGTTTCTTTTTGAATGCATTTGGCTTGTTCGTGGTAGGGACCACTCCTCTCCCCCCCCCACTTTTTTTTCCTTTTTCGCCTTGTCTATTCTGATCACGTGCAGTTGCACTATTTGTAAAAACTGCAGTACGTATTGGAGTTGACACCCTTTTTTCTCTCTCCCCCCACCCCGGTGAAGTCGTCGCGGCTTAAAAGACAGGCGACGTACAAACGACATGGAGAAAGCGGGGAGGTGTACTGGGATCTTGCTGGCGCTCGGGCAAACGTTTCTGTTGATGTCTGGCGGGAAGGGGAGGAGGAGGGAGAATGGGGTTAGGAGCCAGGGTTGGATCGTCGAAGAAACAATCTCCTGTGATGTGGAGGGGATATTGTGGACTCCGTGCATTCAGTGCACCCGAGGCTGCAAAAAACCGGACTAAGCACCTGTAACTCAAGCGCAGGCAAAATCCCAGCCCAGGAGCTAGCTGCGTGTTGTAGGAGCTACACAGGAAGCGTGTATTCGTGTGTGCAGCGGGGGGAAGAATATGCTTCCTTGTATCCCGCCGCAACTGGGCTAACAGATCTGACACAAATATCGAGAGGTCTGCTGGATTCTGTTTGCAAGCCTCCCAAGACCAGCCCGAAGTGAATCTGGCCAAATCTCAGTGCTGATGAACTGCTCTGAAAACTCCCCGCAACTGGATAAACAGCTGCTGACTACTGCAATCTCATAAACTAGTTTCCTTTTGAGCAGATCAGAATTGCCCCCCTCGACTGGGTAGGGCAAAGCTGCTGCTGTTATTTTTAAAGGAAAGTGTTTTGTGTAAGCACAGCCTAAACCTCAGTGCTAGGCAGAGTAAGAAGAGGGAGCCAAAAGCATACTGTACTGTACTAGACCTTATGTTACTGGTGAGGGGGGATGCCCTAGGTTTTTAACTGCCCCCTTTTATATAGCTGTCTTGTACTATGCCACTTTGGGTGGGTCTTCTTTTTCCCTCTTTTACTGCATGTAAGGAGAATAATTTTCAACAAAGTGTGTCAAAACAGACACTGGCATCAACTAGAAATTAAGCCTTTCACAAGTGGTTGTAAGGCTGTAATCCTGTATACACGTTTCCTGGCAATAAGTTCTGTTAAAAACAGCAGGACTTACTTTTGAGTAAATGTGTAGGGTTGCACTGTAAGCCTTTAGTTTCTCTTAAACCTTGAACTTGTAACAAGTCATGGAAGTTGAAATAGAGTTAGAGAAGGCTTGCTTTTTTGCAGATGAGCAAGGGGAATTTGGGAGCTCTTACCTTGACAGGTGGCCCAAATAGCCTGCACCCATTAGTAGACCTCTTTTGTGTCGGATGTGGACTGTGTTGGTACCAGATACGTTATGTAGCCAAGTAAGAAGCACATCTGTCTTCTGTTTAAGTACTTAATGCAAATTCCTGGTAGCTCTGTTGAAAGTGTCCAATTCAGATATTTACTGGGCCTGTAGTTATTATTATTATTATGAGCACTTCTGTTCAGCACAAAGGTCTAAGAGGCCTAATTTAAGCTAATGTAGATACATGAGATACATATAATTAGTACAATTTATATACACTTTTCAAGATCTATCCTAGTGTCAGTTGGTGGGACAGTTGAATTTACATTGAAGCATTCTTACCCTAATCCTTTGCACGTTTACTAAGAGTAAGTGCCATTAAATTCAGTAGGGCTTACTCCCAGATTGTTTCGCGATTGTATTTTAAATTTTTTTTTACAGTCCATCATGAAAAACTTGAATTGATCATTGACTTTTCAGTTTATGGATTGAGCTCTGAAAAGAAATTAATTTGAACCTACTTTTAGCAGCATCCTTGTTTCATTGTAGCAGATTTCTTAATCCTTGCACTTTGCAAAATTATTTATGCAACAATGAGGGCTGGTAACTTAAACTTTATTAAAAATAAAAGCTGGAATTCACAGGACTTTGCCAAGGCCCTGGAAGCTTCACAGAAGAGCTTTAGAGGATAGCATTGCCGAATCCTAGCTTGGGCGATCTGTCAAATACATATTTTTGACAGTCCAGTGGATTTTTAGGCTGGAAAGAAAAGACATGGAAGATTAATTTTCACTCCACAACGCTTCTGCACAATAATACCTTGGAGCCTGAACATACTGGGTGGATTATCCCTCTTTATAGTAATTCCTTGTAAAAAAAATGTAAAAAGCCAAAATTACTACTAGATAATATGAGCTGTCTTTTAGTTATGTGCTAATAGCAGCAATGATTTGTGCAGTAGGAGCAAAACTGTTTTGATAATGCAATTTGAGATCATGGCCCAACATTTGGCTTTGAGATCTAGGTTTTTGATGAAATTAGGATCCATGTTACCATCATGCATTTGGTAGGGATGCAGTTTCCCCCTGTTTTATGGTAAGTTTGAGAATTAAGGTTAAAAGCTGGGCAAACCTGGGAGGATCAATATTGTTATTTCTCTCGCAAGGAGACATTTTAGAGAAATCTGTTCATGCTTTCCCTTGTTTCACATCATAAACAAATGCATTTTATGACCACAAAATAAAATGAAGGTTAATCAAAAGTAAATTAGCACTTGAACAAAATAATAGTCTTGATAGTGCTCAGCTTGTAATGATTTTCCAGAAGCGTAAAGATGAATTTGCTAGTTGAATGCTGGTTTGAAGTATTTCAGGTGGGGGAGGGATCTGTTTTTCCATCTTGTTTGTTTTGCACAGTCCAAAGAGCTTGCAGGAATACTAAACGGTGAGGGCCTTTTCTAATAGCTCTTATTAGTCAGCAAGTTCAGATTCTTGAGTCTAGTGAAAACTGCGTTGGAGCCAGAAAGAAAATAATTTAACAATAAGTTAGCAATCTCCAGTACAGAAATGAATGGCACATTCCACTCCCTAGATGGGCAGTAAATTGCAAATCAGTGGGGGGAAAGGAGGCAACTATTTCTGGCAACATTATCTTCTTTCGTGATAAAATAATCCCTCGGTTCTGAGAGAAGAGAAGCTGTTATTTATGCTTGCTACAAGATTTAAAAAACACTTTCAAATATTTAGAGCTTGCAGGATATTTTTTTCCTACTGAAAATGTATACTCTGGAGTGTACAGAGGGCAGATCCCACAATATCCTTAGCTGTTTATGACATCATTGAGGCTGAGCCTGGTCCTGTTTAGTATCCAATAGTGCAGGCTCCTGCTGGGGAAGACACACACACACACACGCACACACGTCTTATCTCTGAAGCACCTTGCATTAGTAAATAGGCATATAATTTATATTCTTATTTTTCAGCTTGTCCAGGATTTCAACACCCAGGTGGCTCTGTATCGTGAACTGGTCATTTCCATTGGGGATGTCTCGGTCAGTTGCCCATCTCTGCGTGCCGAAATGCAAAAAAACCGAACCAAAGGATGTGAGATCGCCTATCAGGCCCACCAAAAGCTATCAGCAATCTCTGGGTAGGAGGCTTCTTCCATTTCTTCCCGTTCTATACATGTAGAAGCTTCTGGGTGGCTGATAATCCTGTGCAAGTCTCAGCAGAGATGATCGAGGGCTGTGGTGCATTTAGGTGGCACAGAATACTTCTGAATTCCTCTTTTGACTCACTGCACACACTCAGCTTATCTACTGCTTGGCCTTAGTTTCCCCTTGGGACCAGATGAATGTGTAGTCTCTACAGTGGTAAAGGACTACAACAGTGTTTAAGAGTGTTACAGTGATTGTTTTTATGCCTTGATTATGACTGGTCTCCTCATACGTCCAAAACGACTCCAAACGAGAGGGTGGCAAAGAATGTAGCCAGGGTTTAACCTACTTTTAACATACTCCTTCTCCCGTAGAAACTCTAGATGTTGTGTTTTTTGAGGAGATACTGAAAAATCTGTATCAGAATTCAAAGTAGTTCAACAAAGTGTGGTTCCCAGGACTGAGTGGGGGATAGCCTGGTGTGGGACTATCCTGGTTTAAAATGCATGTCTGTCTGTCTATCTATATCTATCTATCATCTATCTATCTATCTGTCTATCTATCATCTATCTTCTCTATCATATAACTAGTAGGTGGAAGTGCTAATTCACTGAGACTGTTAAACTGTGAATTGATGAATGCAAAGAAACATGCTACAAAGAGTGGTGCTAGATCAGTGGTAGCTAACCTGTAGGAAGAATCTGCAGCTCCCTTCAGTCCTGACCATTGGCCCTGCTGATCGAGGCTGATGCAGGTTGGGAGTCCAGCAACAGCTGGGTGGCCACATTTTAGCCATTCCAGATCAGATTTTGTAAATATGAAGCCATAGAAGAAAGTTACTAGACCACAGCTATGCATGTCTCATAAGCCTTTGCTAACCAGACAATGGCATCTCAGCTAATGTAATTTGCTGCCGGGTAGCTGGACTTTTGTGTGTCTTTACAAAGAATGAATGAAAGAAAGAAAGGTAATTGCAGCTGAGACAGCAACTTATACCAAAGAAATTCAATAAGCAATACCCTGTTGAAAACGCCATTTCCCTCTTGCAGGTACAGTTTGCATCTGTAAAATCTTTGCTTTTGTTTACATGCTCACCTTTTATAGCTGAGGTGCAAGCAGAATTTGGAACACATTTCATTTACCTTGCCTGTTCGTTTTTATGTATCAAAACATACAGGTACTAATTGCACCTGCAAAAAGGAGGCTAAAAATCTATCCTTTTGAAAGCTTATGCCAGGTAAGTAGTGAATACTCAGTTTGTACACTAGATACATAGAGTTTGATGCCCATTAGGGTCTTTCTGATAAACATTTTGTAATGCGCTCTCAGTTTGCACCGGTACTGATAACTAAATTGTTCTACATGCCTTAGCTTGGCATGAAGGAGGCTGAACATACCCCATCTTGTCACATTCCAGAAGTAAAGAGGAATCAATGCAACTGCTGTGATATATTTTGGAATGAGGGCACAAAGTTACTAATTTGCAGTGCCAAATGCCCACAAAATGGCTAGAAACAAAATATTTGCAGGTCCCATTATTCCACTATTTTATTATTGTGACAGTTACAGGAAATGCATGGTAGTTGCCATTCATATATCATGTACACTAGTTCTTAACATCAGCTATGACTGGGGAAAGAAGATTAGGTGAAAAGCAAACCACTGTGAACTAAATTGAAAGATCTACCACAACCATTCGGAGAAGCATGGTTTGTATTAAATTTATTGTGCTTGTATATTTTCTCAAGACCATGGGCAAATATCTTTCCTCTTCTGCACTAATTTGGTGTTTGGATTAGCTCTTTAATGTATCAGGGACCATTGGATAGATGAGGGAAGAACCCCCTTTAGAACTGTTAGCCACACTGGTTAACATTACTGTAGCAACTGCAAATTAAGACTTTAAGAAGAATCTGGAGCTAATTAGGCACAAACAATGGGCAATTGCAGTAGTTTATATAATAACTCATATAGGTGAATAGCTTCCAGATGTCTTAATACAGACTTGCCCAACCTGGCGCCCTCAAGACTGCAACTCCCATCATCACTGGCCATTGGCCAGGCTGACTGGGATTGGTGGGAGTTGCCGTCAAAAACATATGGAAGGTACCAGGTTGAGGAAGCCTGATTTAATATCTAGATATATCAGCTGTTTGGAAAATTAATTGCAATTTTTCTCTTCTTGAATTAATCTTTTCATGTCTCTGCTGTTTCTCTCAGCTCTAAAAAGAAATTCAGGAAATGCTATTCAGAAAACCAGTATTTTCCCAGACTGTGGGAACATTCAGAAAAAGGAATGTAATGTGGGAAGTATCAGAACTTGCAACCGTCTACAAAACATGTTATCTGTCCTAGAAGCCTTGCCCTGCAATCTCAGGTGCCTGGGAGCAGGCACTCTGAATATACTGAGAAGCACTCTTCCCCATTATTACCTTGCATACTCATTAGCTGCATTCATGCTCTCATTACAGACACATGCCCTGAAGGAGTGACACAAAACAAACTGACCAGCCTATGCAATGTAGCTGCATTGTGCAATACTCTGGATAGTGCTACAAATGGACCAACCATGGCAGCTTTAACTCCTGCTGAGTTCTTTTTTTTTTTTTAATAAAATATTTATTAAGGTTTTTTGAAATATTACAGTAAAAATGAAAAAGAAAAGAGAAAAATACAAAATAAAAACAGTTAAAAACACACATATTTTCTATTACTTATTTTCCTTTAGCTTGTTTCCCGGACCTCCTCGTACCTCCCTTTTTGTATTCCACTTCAATTTATTGGTTCAGCAAATCCTTACCATTAGATTTTAACCCATTTATAACCCTTTTTTCATATTCTCATAGAGCATTACAGCTGGAAACCACTTAATTACTATCCAACATCATTCTATCATTCATTAATTTTACAATATTTCTGTAAATAGTCTTTAAATTTCTTCCAATCTTCTTCCACCGACTCTTCTCCCTGGTCTCGGATTCTGCCAGTCATTTCTGCCAATTCCATATAGTCCATCACCTTCATCTGCCATTCTTCCAAAGTGGGTAGATCTTGTGTCTTCCAATACTTTGCAATGAGTATTCTTGCTGCTGTTGTAGCATACATAAAAAAAGTTCTGTCCTTCTTTGGCACCAATTGGCGGACAATGCCCAGAAGAAAGGCCTCTGGTTTCTTCAAGAAGGTATATTTAAATACCTTTTTCAGTTCATTATATATCATTTCCCAGAAAGCCTTAATCCTTGGGCACGTCCACCAAAGGTGAAAGAATGTACCTTCAGTTTCTTTACATTTCCAGCATTTATTATCGGGCAAATGATAGATTTTTGCAAGCTTGACGGGGGTCATATACCACCTGTATATCATTTTCATAATATTCTCTCTTAGGGCATTACATGCCGTAAACTTCATACCTGTGGTCCATAACTGTTCCCAGTCAGCAAACATAATATTATGTCCAACATCTTGTGCCCATTTAATCATAGCAGATTTCACCGTTTCATCCTGAGTACTCCACCGTTTCATCCTGAGTACTCCTGCTCAGTTCTTGCCATGTCCCCCCATCTCCCGATTCTCAAAGTTTCTTGTATTACTTTGCAGGTAGAACAAAGCAAATTTTGCAACCTCTGCCTGTCGCTAGGTTGCCTGAGTATTTTGAGCACCCCTGTCATGCTATGTTTCTTCATAGCCATAATGTTTGGATGAAGTTTTCATAGTTTTAGCACCAAGGAGGCAGACGCATACACTGTTATCATCAAACAGACATTATTATCATCACACACAGGTAACAATTCCATTTGCTTCCATGAGCATTCACTGGAGGCATTTGCAGTCAATTCAGTAAGCAGCAATAAAAAGATGCAAAAAAAACAACCACCACCCTTCCTTCAGAAACGTAGATTTAAAAAAAAAAAATAGGCCAGGTATTTTGTGGCAAAGGAAAAGCAAAGCCACAGAAATCATGAGTAAACACTGACAATAGCCCATTGTACGTATAATATAGGAACATCGGAAACTGACTTATACTGTCTTCAGACTATTTATTCATCTAGATTGGTGTTATCTACTCTGCCAGTGGCCCTCTAGGGGTTCCAGCAGAGCTCTTTTCCAGAAAGAAATCTTAACTGGAGACACCAGGGATAGAATTTATGACCTTCTGCAAGTGGAGTGTCCTTTGCCGCTTTGCTTGGGTTCCTTTCATATATGTGTGCTTAAGCTCCTTTGGTTTTAACAGGACTTGCAGTTCCAGTCCTAAGCATGTTTACTCAGAAGGAAGTGAGTTCACTAGGATGTAAAGGTAAAGAGACCCCTGACTGTTAGGTCCAGTTGCGGACGACTCTGGGGTTGTGGCGCTCATCTCACTCTACTGGCTGAGGGAGACAGCTTCCGGGTCATGTGGCCAGCATGACTAAGCCACTTCTGGCAAACCAGAGCAGCGCACAGAAACGCCGTTTACCTTCCCGCCGAAGCGGTACCTATTTATCTACTTGCACTTTGACGTGCTTTCGAACTGCTAGGTGTAGTAATTAGATTTAGGGTTGCAACCTTACACCCCATGCAGTTAAGTCTCATAATGTCCATAACTTGTTTCAGGCAAGAAAATGTCTTTTTGAGACATCACTCAAACGTTGAAGAGCTGCATGGGTACTCGTGATTGTGCTCAGAACTTTGACAAGGCATTTTTGAATGTTCTAATTTATGGATAAATTATAAAGTGTGCTGCATTGGCCAGGCTCCACACTGTGACCAAAAGGAGAATGCTTCCACTTGCACACAGTGGGTCTGGGATGCGTGTTTTGGCAGCTCAACTGAGTGCATTCCATTGCATCACATGGGCATCATGCTCCTGGTAGTGAGAGGGGCTTGAAACTACCTAATCCATGACTGATGATCCACACATTGAACTTTGGATTAACACCGGTGTATTGTTGCATACCACACCAATGTCTGAGCAGTGCGAGATTCCAGGTGCGCTTTACCAGGGTCCGTGTTTCCTTTTGGAAAATAAGGCACAGCAGAGACTGTGGTGTCTCTATGATATATGGTTTATATTCACATACAGTGGTACCTCGGGTTAAGAACTTAATTCGTTCTGGAGGTCCGTTCTTAACCTGAAACTTTTCTTAACCTGAAGTACCACTTTAGCTAATGGGGCCTCCTGCTGCTGCGCTGCCATAGCACAATTTCTGTTCTCATCCTGAAGCAAAGTTCTTAACCCGAGGTACTATTTCTGGGTTAGCGGAGTCTATAACCTGAAGTGTCTGTAACCCGAGGTACCACTGTATATACAATCTGAGCCTATGATGGAGGACTTCACAGCATTGACACTCCAAGTGGTTCTGGCTTCTCCCATAGAAATAGCAACCATGGACTTAAGCAGACCCCAACCATCACTCTTAAACGTTGCTCTCTAACTCTCTCTAGCCCTCTTTCTATCTCTGTTGCATTGCTCTTAACACCCTGCTCTAAGCTTCTGGGTTTTATCTGTTGAGAGAGGGAGGGCCCATTCATCTGCATCTCACACCTAGTCCTTTGACCCTGCGTACTCTTAATGGCCCATTCACACAGGCTATTACCTCAAAAAGAAATTAGCCTGACCTAATTAGCTTTTCAAACTTGTTGATTCCCTAGAATTAAAGAGGTGTCTGACATACAACTTAATGTGCACAAATCGATTCTAACACGGTGGGAGTCTGACACACAAGCCTTAATTAAATTCTAACACTAGCTTGATCTGGAATTTAGGGTGTTTTGCACCCACAAACTCATAAAAGTATATTCAATGGGAAGTCCTTTTCCTGAAATGCTTAGGCTCACCTTAAAGAAAGGAGAAAAACCCCAACCACAATAATTATTAGAATAAGTAGAGTCTTCCTGTGTAGTTTGACCACAGTGCTGGTTTTTATTATTTATTTCTATAGCGGTAATTGCCATTTCTGTATAGTTCTCATCAGTTTGCTGTGTGTGTCACCCAGCGCCTTGGGCAAAGCAACTGTAGCCCTGGCTGAGCAGCAGTGAAGCATGACAGAGAGGTGTAGCAACTAGCACATCTGCAGCTCTGCTTCTCATTCCAGCTTGGGTGGAAGACGATCAGGAGGCAAAACCCTGCTATACCAGCCTGGAGCTGGCCCAGTGTTCAGGCCCCATGGTGTCATATGGCAGCAGTGAGTCAAACCACAGTCCATCTTGCTTGGTGTTTTCTTCAGTAGCTGCCTATCCAAGGTTTCAGCAGAGAGCATTCTTACCCTACCTGGAGATAAATGCCAGAGATTGAATCTAGGACCTTCTGCATGTAAGGCATGCTTGCTCTGCCACCCAGCATGTATACTTCCTTTGAACTCAGGAATTTTCCCTAGCAAAAGAGTTCGAAATTGGATGCCTGGTTTCCTTTCTTGGTTTCGAGGCAGTCATAGTGGTTTTTCGTCTTGTAGGGTTTGTTTTCCTTTGGTAACGGATGAAGTATTGAAAGAAATGAGGACAATATATTTCATTCGTGAAGAAACAAATGCCAGAGGTGCAGTATAGAACAGCCTAGTAGTGGATCAGGCCAATGGCCCACCAAGTCCAGCATCCTGTTATCACAGTGACCAACGAGATGCCTGTGGGAAACCTGCAAGCAGGATTCCAGCACAAGATTACTCTTCTCCTGTGGTTTCCAACAACTGGCATTCAGAAGCAACAGGATGCAGAGCATAGCCATCATTACTGGGAGCCCTCGATAGTCCTCTCTTCCATGAATTTGTCCAATCCCATGGATCACTGCTTCCAATGGAAGTGAATTCCATACTTAAACCATTCTTTGTGAAGAAGCACTGTCTGTCCTGAATCTTCCAACATTCAGCTTCATCGCCTGCCCATGAGTTCTAATGTTACAAAAGAGAGGGAGAAACCTTTCACCATCTTCTTTCTCCTTGCCATGCATAATTTTATAAACTTCTATCACATCATCACATGTTTGTCCTTTAGCTAAACTAAAAAGTCCCCAAATTCTGTAGCCTTTCTACATAGGCAAGTCACTGCACGCCTTTGATCATTTTGGCTGCGCTTTCCTGAACTTTTTCCCAACTCTACTGTATCGCTTTTGGAGATGAGGAAAGACAAATGAATTCCAAATTCCATATATTCATTTGCTGCTCATTTTGAGCGGTTTGTTTTCCTCTATCAATCTGAATATGTCAGGTGAGGATTACTGGGAGATGGGGAGAAAATGAGGGAAAGCGACCATGTGAAAATCCAATCTTCAACTCAAAACACATGTTAACAAAAGTGTTCCACATTCTGATGCGTCTTTTTGCCACAGTGAAGCTTCCAGTCACAGTGACAAGGAGAGGGATTTGTGGAAGCGTATAAAAGATGGAGATGAAGCCTTTGTTTGCCTGTGAATTCTTTGTCCTTAAACACTGATCATTTGCAGATTGCTCTGATCCTTGTCTAGTGAAAATCAGTTGCCATACAGTCATCTCTTACCATTCCTTTATGCATTGTCAGTGTATTCCACACTGTTTTCCTACCTTGTCTGTTCCCTTGTTCTTGGGTAGCTATTGGTAGTTTAGAGACATATATCAGTGAGATCAGACAATGTGCTTGACATATTCTTTATTCATCAAAGCATCTAGTCTGTGTGAATGTGTCCCTTCACATTCTATAAAATGGGAGCCCTTTATACTATATGTATGAAATTGGGTGGATGGTGATCCATGGTAGATTGTAAAATGCCTAAAAAAGTAATGCCATTTTTGTGGGAAACGTGTAAATCAGGCCAATGAAGAACAGGTGCATTATGCATTGTAAGCACTGGAAAACAAATGGGAGTAATGAAAACTAATGTGATTTTGATGAATTAATAACTGACCGAGAGGTTTTAATAATAAAAGTAAATGGATGTATCCATTACTTAAAATGTTTTCAGCTAGCCAAAGTAGCTTGATGTACAGATGTGACCAAGTGATAATTTTTGTCTCAGTGCTATAAAAAGCTTCCCCTGCTAATTTCTTCGTATCACACTGTTTTTAAGGCACAAGAGCAGCTTAGGCCACCATCCAAAGCTTTGGACAGCTATTGTCATTCTAAGTAGGTAGGAGAGGTATATACTTCCTATGTACCTGAGAAACTGTTAAAGGAGGCACATTTGGGCAAATGTTCAACTTTGGATATGCATTAATGCTCAAATGAAGGAATAAGCTTTGGGTGCATTTGACCCTGCACTGCCATGGCACTATTGCTTTCTCACACATACTTTCTGAACACATTTCATCCCATTTTGAATCTTTCCAGTAGTGCAAAGGAAATTCTCAAACATAAATTCCTGGTTTTGTCACATATATTTTTGTATTCTTGCTATTATTTTTATTATATTTTACTGCATCTTATTGCCAGAGGACATTGTGTGCAGGAAATACAGCCAGATTTCTTTATAATAATGCTTCTGCTGTATTCAAGGTTTTTATGCTCTCCATCTATTTAATGTATAGCGTAATCTAGTTTAATAAACTGTGTTCAGAATCCTTTTCGCTGCTTCTCTGACTCCACCCCTGTCTGCAAGAACACAGCAACTTCAGAAGATATAAATATATACTACAGATTGGATATAATATGAATGGGTGAAATGCACCCAGTTTTCATTTGAGATTAGTTTGTACAAGAGAACATATATTAAAATGTAAAAAAGTACGTTTATAGCTTAAAGGCTGTATCCAGCGTAGTACTAAGTTAAAGTCACTCAGCAGTATACATGCTGCTTTGGTGAAATGTTCTATGCCAGCAGAATGCTGTGCAAGAGAATGCATTGTTGTTGGTTATTTGCTTGTACAGTTGGTTGCACAATCCATTGGTTGCGTGTCTGTTGTGCAATGAGTTTCTGCTAATGCACCTGGAGTGTTGGATTCCTTTGTTACACAACATTAGAACTCCCCTGTCTACTAGTGCAAGAGTATTGGATACGGGCCTATATGTTTAAAGAAAACAGCATTAAACTTGAGATTTTTACAAGTCAAAGTAACAGATTTTCCCCCAACATAATAATATATCACACTTTATATTCATTATAAGGGGCGCAGTTGGCGCTGTGGGTTAAACCACAGAGCCTAGGACTTGCCGATCAGAAGGTCGGCGGTTCGAATTCCCGTGACGGGGTGAGCTCCCGTTGCTCGGTCCCTGCTCCTGCCCACCTAGCAGTTCAAAAGCACAAAGTGCAAGTAGATAAATAGGTACCGCTCTGGCGGAAAGGTAAACGGCGTTTCTGTGTGCTGCTCTGGTTTGCCAGAAGCGGCTTAGTCATGCTGGCCACATGACCCGGAAGCTGTACGCTGGCTCCCTTGGCCAATTAAGCAAGATGAGCGCCGCAACCCCAGAGTTGGCCACGACTGGACCTAATGGTTAGGGGTACCTTTACCTTTACCTATATTCATTAAGTGTAATGACCGCTTAGATCAGCTAAGCTATTTTAGAATACCTTTTTATATTCTTTTGCCATCTTTTAAAAGTACTCTTTTGTACTATTGGATAATAATAAACACTTTTTAAAAATAGATTAATTTTTTTAGACCTCATTGGAGTCTTTAGGAAAAACAACTGCAGAACTGTTCCAGTAGATTCTCCAGAGTCCTGGTCTGAGCATATTGCAGAGTTTTAACTTGCAAATCTAAGCATGCTATCTTGGGATTAGGGACTGTTGAAACAAGTGGATTTTATTATGTTTAGGATTTTGTTGCAAGGTTCTGGTTGTTTTGGCTGTTTTTACTAAACAGGAATATGATAATGTGCACGATGGCCAAATTCTCATATCTGTAAAAGCTTCATCTGTTCCACTGAAGTGGTGGATTGTATATGTTTACAATAATATTATCTGCCCGAAGTCTTTCAAATGGGATGGGCCTTAAATTGAATACATATGCTTACAACTAAGCTGTACTGGAAAACTTTGTCCTACTTAAATGTTGGAATTATTGCATGTCACGTAGTTGAAGCATGCAGGATTACTGCTAAGGAATTTTGACAACCTTTCTTTAAATATTGTGTTGCTGGCGTTTCCGGTATAGAAAATGTCATTCCCATGTGTTACTGGGAGAACTACTGGGGAAATTCATAATTCTTTGAATTCTTGGCTCCAATAGTGTCTGAATCAAAGTTTTACCAAAATAGCAGAATTACAGTGATAGTGAAGGATGCTGGATCCATCTCTGGAATCATGGCACAGAATACAAGTACAGTGGTACCTCGGGTTACATACGCTTCAGGTTACATATGCTTCAGGTTACAGACTCCGCTAACCCAGGAATAGTGCCTCAGGTTAAGAACTTTGCTTCAGGATGAGAACAGAAATCGCGCGGTGGCAGCAGGAGGCCCCATTAGCTAAAGTGGTGCCTCAGGTTAAGAACAGTTTCAGGTTAAGGGGGCCACTAGGGGGCGCATTGGAAGATGGCCGACAATACCATCTCTCCGACCCACACGAGGTAATTAAGAGGCTGTTATGGGAATAGGCAGCCTCCCTTGTTGCCCCAAGGAAATGGGGAACACTGCCCTTGCCTGCTGTGCCCATAAATCACCCCCTAATTCGAAAGAAGGGGGTGAGGGCCCTAGGCAGAATGCCCCCGTGTGGACATCGGCTCTCCTGGACACTGTCTCTGATCGCGCACTAGTTGCAGCAATTTGGAATAATTAATTACAAAAGAAGCAAATGCACATATTTCAAGTGAAGAAGGGGAGTGAAGTCTGCTAATTTAAGTGACCTCTGCGAAAGAAGACGACGGGCTGGAGAAACAGGAATATTTTACGATGAAGATACACCAAAGGCGGGGTATGTTGACAACGGGGCTGAATGGGGGAACCTTTTTACTTTCCTTCTATGTGATTTACAAGAACCCCTCCTCATTAGAACCGTCGGTTGAACTGACCCAAGCAGGATGATTAAGGTCTGTGTGGAGATAAACTTTAACCAAAAGTATGCTTTATGGAGACCGAGAAGCAATAAGAGCTCTTGGGAATGGCGCAGCAATTAATTCGGAGTCGCCATCTTGCCAAAGGATTTATAGCCGGGAGGAAGAACGGATTTGTTTTCAGACTGAATTCCTAGTGAATCTCCTCAGAGGTTTTGAGAAAGGAGGCAGATTGGTGAAGACTAATGATGCTAAGACTGTTTTGATGTATGGAAGTGATGTTATATGGAAAACGTCTGGATATGGCTACTGGATAAAAAAATTAATATCCACGCAGGATTACAAACTGTTCTAACCAGCTTGCGGAGACTATCAGAGGTCACAAAGAGAAAGGAAAAATATATGAAAATAACAACAAGAGATGTGGAAAAATAATAAGAAAGGACTGGATAGTACTATGAACATCATAAGGTTAGATTTGTGGACATTAAAACTGCAGTAAGAAGCAAGAAGTTGATTGGATCACTTCGGAACTTGAAATATGGGTACGCCCAACAAAAATTTAAAATTCGGCTGTGTAATTTGGAATTTATGTAATTTGGTTTGATTTGATGTGATTGGTCGGTTAATAAAAAATTATTCTTAAAAAAAAAAAAGAACAGTTTCAGGTTAAGAATGGACCTCCGGAATGAATTAAGTACTTAACCTGAGGTACCACAGTATAAACTGTTGTCCTCATATGAACTGGCTCACACCATCAAGCTGAACATGCCCCTGACAGTTCTAGCTAAGTGCATCTCTCCTGCTAGGGTGCCTTTTCAAGCTGTGCCTGGAACACATGCGTCCATTACTTCAATGGAAAAAGTGCCACAATAATGTGCACCAGAAATCAGAAGAGACCACTGTGAAAAAAAGCAAGAGAGTTGGATTTTTAAAGAAACTGGTATCTGGCACAATGGCCTGGCCTATTACATAGCAATCTATTTGTCGTATATCAAGTGCCACCCATGTCCACAGGTTGCTATTTACCTCTGATGGGCCTATTCTGTCAAGAGTAGATTGGAAATCTCTCCATTTCCCACCTTTTACTTCCACCTTCCTGGGTTCTTGGAAGTTTCCAGTGGCCCAAATGTCAAATATTGCCCCTTAGAGCCCACATGGCCATACCTGATTGGAAGGGTCCTCTCTCTTGTCAATCCAACCCTTGATAAGACGGAGTTTTTAAAAATGGGACTTTATTTCCTAGGGGGAAATGTCATTGCTGAAAATCACGTGTGAGTCTTCTTCATGAGTAAGTTTGAGCCTCTTCTTTTTGGTTGTCTAGTTTACTCTTTAAGGAAGATGCTTTCAAGGATCCTTTGGTCGTCAAAAATGTAAAGAAATACAAGCTGGTAGTTTTATTAAGAAGATGAGCGGAGATACAAGGGATAAGATGAAAGTTAATAAAATGTTTTTTTTAATTTAGAAGATTGGATTTTGCTGTATACTTTAGACAAGAGAAGGGTTTTTGTTGTTGTGTGCCTCACCGCATTTCTAGCCTAAATACTTAGATCCAGCGGAGGTAGGGAGGAAAACAGATGGAACTTACTCAGTGGTGACTGCAGAGTTGGCTCCTTGTCGCCCCCTTCCAGGCTGAATATCTTGGAGTTCCTCACTTAGGAGTTGGGTGTAAGGAGAGGTGATTGCAAATATAAATTGGGATTTTACAAGCCGGCTGTGGCCTTAAAGCAGCTGGGCAATTGCTACAACCAACACCCTGCTTTCTACAAGTTGAGCAGGAGATGAAGGAAGATGGACAAGTAGCAGAATCCAAGAGTGCTATTGACATGTTGGGTGACCTTGGCAGAATGTTAAGTGACCTCACTGGCCATCTGGCTACAGAAAGAGCTGGTATATAATCCCAGCAGACCCCAGGATGTCTTGCAGGTACAAGGACAAACAGATCTCCCTGAATCGCTTTCCTACATTTGCAGCTTGATCAAAGAAGATAAGTTTACCCTGGGATTGTCTTACAAGGCTCTAAAATACTCATATAATGTTTCCACTGAGACTGGTTTTGCTGCCGAAAATAAATATATAGCCATTGTTTTGATTCTACATAAATGCTAAATGGCTTCAGGGTACACAAGATGACTGCAGTAAACAAAGGCAAAGGTCAGCATACTTGGCTAAGGGTAGGAACCTCCATATCTCTAAAATGAATGCTTTCATTAGGCCCTCCTTCAAGTGAATGCTTCAGTGATGTTTTCATTGGGATTCCTGCATTACAGGAGGTTGCACTAGATGACCCTTGGGGTCCCTTCCAACTGTACAATTCTAGGATTCTATGAAAATGCAGTTAATGGTGCTTTAAGGCACCGTCTGCCACTGGCAAGGAAGAGCAGTGAACTGCACATGAAATCTGATCTGACCAGCCTGTTGAGAAATGACATGTACTACTTGGCTTCTGGAACAAACAATATAATGGCATGATGAAACCATACTGCTTTTTTATAGTTCTTACTATAATGTCCTGCTGCTTGCTTGTGTTTTTGCTCTGTATTATTCTTTTTATTTACATCAAGTACAGTCGTACCTTGGATCCTGAACGCCCTAGAACTCGGATGTTTTGGCTTCCGAACACTGCAAACCCGGAAGTGATTGTTCCGGTTTGCGAATGTTCTTTTGGAACCTGAATGTCCGGCAGGGCTTCCGTAGCTTCTGATTGGCTGCAGGAGCTTCCTGCAGCCAATCAGAAGCCGCGATTTGGTTTTCAAACGTTTTGGAAGTCGAACAGACTTCCGGAACGGATTCCATTCGACTTCCAAAGTACGACTGTGCATGTATTTCTATTCTGCTTTTCATCAGAAAATATCAGAAACTAGTTTATTTTAAGAAAAGACAGTGTATAAGACAGTAAAACCCCTCAGAATCCATAGGATTCCATTCACTCATTAATCACACAAATTCCACACCTAACTCAGCCATACCTCTACCTATGCTCACACACAACACTCTCACTCTCACCAATTCTTGATCCCAGTAATCCCCTGGGTACATGTACAAAAACATTCTATACAATAACGCATTTTTAATATTATTTAAAAAATTAGAATTGTGGGGTGAAACCCTAGCTGAATTTTGGAGCGAAAGCACAGACACAGAAGACCAAAGCTTTGACCTCTGGCATCTTTAGTTTAAAAAGGAGCTGATAGCGGGTGATTTGGCATGAGAGCATAAGAGCCCAGTGGGATAGGCCAGAGCCCAGCCTAGCCCAGCATCCTGCTCCCCAGAGGGACCAGCCAGATGCTTATGGGAAGCTTGCAAGCAGGAACCGTGCCAGTAAGTGTAATACTTGGCTAGATGAATAATGCCTGACCTAAGGCAGCCTCTTATGCCCCTGTAAAAAGGTCTGAACATGAGGAAGCACTGACTTACTGTCAGTTATATAAAAGCAGTAAGTGCTGTAAAGCAACAGAAAGTACTTAAGTGTGAGAAATGCAAGTGAGAAAGCAGGATTCTGGTGGATTCTACTTGCATGCCATCTTAATGACCCTCAGGGAATCAACTGTCTTGGCATATTACCCATTCTTGAAAGAGAAATGATAGTTAGCTGGTTCTAATAATTTAACAAAGGAGAGCTCACCTTTCTCTTTGCTACATGTAGGATGCTGCTTATGTCTGTGTATATTGCTTTGTTTACCTTGTGAATCTAGGATTGTAAAAATTCGGATTCTTTTAAGGTTTCTTGAATGCCTTCTTAATTGGTGTGTATCAATCAGTTCTTTCGTTGTAGGTTTTGTAGCATATAATTTCTGCCATGCTTTGTATACAAATACCAGATTCTTTTTGCTGTAAATTGACAATCTAGCATATTCCAAGTGCATCTGGCTGAAAATATGAGCATGGGCTTTTTTATGCACGACAGCAAGTGACTTTTTTTTTTTTTGGCCACCTGACAGTATCAGTCATCATTCAGATGTATTTTTGTCAATCAGTCCAAAATTGGACCTAAACCTTGACTTGTAGGATCACTATCAGATGTTCTTTGAGAGCTGAAATATGAAAAGAGTTTTGGTTGGCCGGTCTTAAGTTGCAGGAGGAAAAGCAAACAACCCAAAAATAGCCATCTGTGGTTTCAGACACTTTTAAGAGTCTCTCCAAGTCTCAAATCTGGGGAAGCAATTAATGAAGTAGAAAACAAGGTCACTTACCTATAACTTGTTCTCAAAATATATATGCTCCGTGGATTCACTTTCACCTCTCAATCCACTGCATCTCTTGAGGGACTTGCTCGGAAGTTGCAGTGCAAGGGTAGAAAGCGCTGGTGCTTCCTTTTTTAAAAATAGATATTTTTTTTCTGAACAAGTTGGAGCCTGTTCCTTTGCTCTGCCTGCTTCTCACAGGCATTCTGGTTGATTTAGAGACATGTGCAGTAACATATATTTTTAGGACCCATCTTATTTATGTAAGTTGTTCTAAACTGCTTTTAATATTCTGTTGTAAAGTTATGTTGTAACCCACCCTGGGACCTTAGGGTGAAGCTTAATAGGGACTGAAGTGACTTGAGTTTAAAAACAAGACCACTTATCCTACAAATTTCTTCCTAGGCAAACAATACTCTCCAGGCTTGTTTTAGCAAAATAAGACTGGAATGGAGATTCAAATTTTTCTCTGTGTGTGTGTGTTTGTGTGTGTGTGTGTGTGTGTGTGTAAGAGAGAGAGAGAGAGAGAGAGAGAGAGAGAGAGAGAAATTGCAGCAGATGAATGGAGCCTTAATCTACATGAGCAGTGCTTATTTGAAAATGCTGTTGAATTGCTTTGAACTAGAGAGTGGAGGTTGGGCTACAGCGACCATGTTTAAAGCAAACACAAATGTTCCTTTAAGAAAGTGGGAGGAAACCGTGTCATTGCATTATTCTTTGCACACTCTTTATTTCCTTTTCCTCTGACCTCACTTCTTACCACTGCGATATACTTAGGTGTTATACTTGTAACTCAGGATAATACCTTCATGCACCTGATGAAATAGACTGCAGCTTATGACATAATCCATTTGCTAGTCTTTTTAAAGTGCTTCAAGATTCTTTGTACAGTGGTACCTCAGGTTAAAAACTTAATTTGTTCTGGAGGTCCGTTCTTAACCTGAAACTGTTCTTAACCTGAGGTAACACTTTAGCTAATGGGGCCTCCCGCTGCCACTGCGCCGCCACCACATGATTTCTGTTCTCATCCTGAAGCAAAGTTCTTAGCCTGAGGTACTATTTCTGGGTTAGCGGAGTCTGTAACCTGAAGCGTCTGTAACCCGAGGTACCACTGTAGCTATTCCTGCAGCATGGCTGCCCACCCAAAAATAGTTAGAATATTCCCATCTTTCTTCAGGTGGACTGCACAGGGACACTTCACAATGATTCCAATCTCTGATATTACTAGCAGTGCTAGCTTTATACAGACGCCATCTAGCTTGAGTGGTTCAGCTATGGCTGCACCTGCACATTTAAAACAGTATTATGCCACTTTAAACCCGCAGAATCCTGCAAACTGTAGTTTGTTTAGGGTGTTGTGAGTAGTTAGGGGACTCCTGTATCCGTCACAGAGGTACAGTTCCCAGAGCTGTTTGACAGTCAACCCTTTCCCTAGAGAACTCTGAGAATGGTGGCTCCAGGAGGAGAATAGAGGTCTCCAAACAATTCTCAGCACCCTTAACAAGCTACAGTTCCCAGGATTCTTTAGAGGGGAACCATGATTATTTAAAGTGCTGTGGTACTGCTTTAAATGTACAGTGCAGAGGTGGCCTCAGTTTAGGTTTCTGTCAGGGAGTGAGTAGAAGAATTTTCACGAGTTTCAAACTTGGGGATGGTAAGGGGTGATTGGACGTGCGGTGGATGGGTGGCACTTTGTCCATACTTGTTCGTTAGCGGCTGACCTTTGTTGCATTTTTATTTTATTCCCTGGCGTGCTGTGCAAAGATAAAGAATTACTTTGGTTAAATGAAGTGCAGGCCAGTTGGCAGTCCTTACCTTGATTTCTGGGTGGTCAGACTACTTCACCCAGGAGTCAGGCAGGGAACAGACCTCTCAGGGTCAGTGGCAGAGGGCAGCCTAGCAAGCAGTTTGGCTGGGGAGAATCTCAACCCCCAGGCGAAAACAGTTGGCTGTTCTGATTTCATCCATTTATATTTATGTCCCACGCTATTCCTAGTGCTTCATGTCAGGCAGCAATTTTCTCCACAGCTATTTCTCTTTGCAATAACCACATGAAGTGAATTGCTACGGTTCCTATTTTAGAGATGTAGGAAGTAAGACTGAAAACTAGCAACTTAGCAATGCCTGAGGCAAGAGTTGGGGGCCACATTTCCGTCAAGTCCAATGCTTCCTATGGTTCTTTGGCATCCTTGCTGAGAAGACTAGGCCTGTGTTTGTTGTACTGACTATTGCGCAATAGCAAGTTGTTCTAAACAGCAAACTCAAGAGGGTGGTGTCAACAGAAATGGAGCCATTAAAAAACCAGATGAATTTGATTTTATTTACTGTATTTCTATGCTGCTTTTCAATCAAATGAATCCCAAATCAGGTTACAAACAGTAAATAACAATAACATAATACAGCATAAATCATATAAAATAGCTAACCACCAATTAAGCAGTTACAGTGAATGAAACACTATTAACAAAGGCCCCACTTGTTGAATTCTGAGGTGTACCTGTAGGGGGCAGAGTTTGTGTCTACTCACAAAGCATGAACCAGCAGCTGACATAGTTCTCCACCATAGAAGAATTATGTGCAATATGGATGGAGCCTTTTGTGTATTGTTGACCTTTCCTTGCAACAGAAGCCAGCAACCTTTAGAGTCTAGACCAGCTCTGCTGGCCAGCTACTAGAGGATTCACTGCAGGTTGTAGGCAAGATTGTGTGCATTAACCTTTGCTCGGTTGACTTCAAGGCAATATTTGCACCACCTGCGTGCTAGTCTGTGGCTTGCTTCATAGGCCATAGCTCTTCACAATACCAAGGAGCCACTTGGGCTCTGCAACACTGGAGAGGACCCCATTAAATTTGACACAGGCTTATTTCCAACAGTAGAGTTTGTGTAAAGAAACCTGTTCTGCCCATGTCTGGCCCACTGTTTCAATTACAAGTTTTTCAGGTGCCTTAATTATTATTTTTTTAAACCCTGTTACAGCCATAACCTAATCCTAATATGAATGTGTGTATTAATCTGTACAGAGAGAGAGAAAAAGAGAAGAAATCAAATTTACATAACATATCTTAAACACATTCTTAATAAATTAGCCATAAATCATTTCTAAACATTCAGTATGAAGTTCATTATTTTCTACATTGTTTCTAATGGATGTTTGAAAGTTTGAAAACATTGATGAACACGTCTCTCTCCATCTCTTCCTTACACTCTGTCTGTTACAAGTAACTGTCTATTAAAAATGTAATAATACTTACATCCCACCCAGAGGTATTGTGAGAATTACTTAATACTGTAAAACACATTTCAAGCTGTGAAGGGAAGACACAATTAACTGCTAAGTGGCACACTTTTATTATCCTGATTGTTCCTAGATAGGACCAGCAAAGTTGTCCTTTTTATGATAATATTATCCCTAAAGAGGCAAGTGGGATGTATCAATTCAGTGTCATGTTAAACAGGGTGTAGGTGTAAAAGAATGAGCTTTAAGTCTCGTCCCAACTTCAAAGCGGTTCAGTGTTTCGCAGAAAGTCTTTTTGTAGCATTGATCTTCCATCTTACGTCATGAAGTATATAACTGGCAAAACTATGGTCTAGAATCCTATAAATATAAGCAGACAAAGCCAGTTTTCTTTCTTTATTTGTATTCTCAGGTTATCTGAATGTTTCTAGGGAATTTGTCATTGTGTGAATAATAGAATTGGAAGGAGTCCCAGGGATTTTTTAGGCCAGCTACCACCAACGCAAGAATCTCAACTAGATCATACATGACAGATGACCATCCAACCTCTACTTGAAAACCTCCAAGGAAGGAGAGTCCATCACCTTCAGAAGGAGTCTGTTCCACTGTTGAACAGTTCTTAATGTCCGAAAGTTAAATCCTGGTGTTTAGTTGGAATCTCCTTTCTTGTAACTTGAATCCATTGGTGCAGGTCCTAGCCTGTATCTTACACAGTGAAACCCTAATCCTATCTACACAGTTGGGCTTTCTCCTGCATAAGTGGGGTTCAGATTGTAATCTTTCTGTACAATGGCAAGAATCCTATCCATGGTGCCACACACACCCCTGTGGCCCCTGAAATGTTGCAGAAGATGGAATGCAGCCCTTAGCATTGTGATGCAACAAGCCAGCAAGCCTACTAGCTACATTCAGTGGCCAGAAAACAACTACTCTTTGTTTTTTTCAGTCCCTGGCCGGCAGCAATAAAAGGAGCTTTATTGAGCCCTTAGCAAGGTACTGTACACCAGGAGAGGGCAGAAGATTATGTTAGACTCCCATCAACCAAAGCCACCATAGCCAGTGATAAGGCATGATGGGAGTTGTAGTCCAACAGCAATGGAAGAGCATTGCATTTCTTTCCCCTGCAATAAGGAATTAGAACTGAAAAGAAACATTGGTTGTTGTTGGGTGGGTTTTTTTTGCAAATGGTTCTTTTCCAGCTAAGAGGTAGAATGACTGGAGGCAGCTGCATTTTAGAGAATACAAATCTACTTTTAAACTTAGGACACAGTACATTTTTGGCATTTCTATTTTGTGCCACCCTCAGGCAAGGACAAGATGATATAATTCCCAAAAGCCAGCTCTGTTTACAACTGTGGGCTGGAAGGCCTGTCAGCCTATCAGAGTAGTCATTAGCACATTGTGAGTTTGGGCCATGTGTGTTTTTTAATAGACTTTTAACTTCAGTTTGCGCTGACTTTTATCATACCAGAGCAGTGTAATGGAAAATGAACTCCGACAGAGAAATAATGTTTGTTTACTAGCAAAACACTGAGGTCCATAATGTTCATACGAACATAATTTCGGAAGCTTTTAAGCTTCTCAGCTCAACCTTGGCTCCTTTCCTAGCTGTAGTATTTTTCAGCGGTGGAAATTAGCAGGTTTTGTTTCTTTGGATCCTCAGGGATTAAAAAAACCCAACACCCTGCAATTTTAGAGAAGCAAGAAGCCTTTTCACTCACTCTGATCTTGTTCATCTTGATGCCTTTAAGGTACATTCTCTTAGGCTTTTGCTCAAGGGTGGGGAATCCTTGTCAAGTCAAGGTCCACATTTCATTATGAACAGCCTTCTAGGGTGGGTGGCGGCCAGAAGGCAAAGTGAGTGGAACATGGGCAAGGGGGGCAGCTGCGCCCCCTAAACCAAGTCAATAAATAAAAATAAATAAAAAACAGTTTCTACCCAAATGAAATTCTGGTTCTAAACGCAGTATAAGGAGTCTTTATAGTATATTGTATTTTAAAATGGGGTTTCAGAGTTTTTAGGGGTTTTTGAATGTCTTATGTAGATTTTTAAATTTCATTGTTCTGTATGGGACAATGACAATAAAGATATCGTAAAAAAAAACTTAACGAACTGGCCAATCACGTCCCAGATAGCTCAGTTCTCCCCCCCCCGCCAGCATACCGTATTTTTCGCTCTATAACACGCACCCGACCATAACACACACATAGTTTTTAGAGGAGGAAAATCCGTAGGCATGCCACCCGTAGGCATTCCCTCCATAACACGCACAGACATTTCCCCTTACTTTTTAGGAGGAAAAAAGTGAGTGTTATGGTGCAAAAAATACAGTAAATCCCATGGTGGGCTACATTCCAGCCATACAAAAACCAGAGGTTTCTACACTACCACCCATCGCTCTGTCCAGGCAAGCAAGAGTCATTGTTGATCACATTTCAATGGCATATTCTAGTCAAGGAAAAGCAAGCACACTACACTCTAGATAGAAACAACATACAAAAGCAAAAGTTCTTACTGCACTTCTCTCACCCACTTCACATACAGGCTGCATTCAAAAGGCAAGGAAAAGCAAGAGGTTTTAGCTCCACCAGTCTTCCTGCATTTTGACACTGCCACCCACATGCATAAACCGCATCCCAAGGAATGAGATTTTCCTTGCCTTTTCCAATCTCTTACTTCACATTTCAATCTATTGTCCATCCAGGATTTCTCCCTCCACGAAAAAGGGAGGGGAATGAGGAGGAGAGATGTTATTTGCATTCTTCTTCCTCAACAAATGCAAGGTTCCCTCATTAAGTGATAGAAATCAATTCTCTCCATGGTTAGCCTCCCTTGCTCCCAGTCTTCACTGGTATCTTTTGTTTAAGTTTAGATGTGACCCTTTGGTTCAAAATTGCATTGATAGAAAGGAGGTGGGCAGAATACTTGAAGAATGGTCAACATAAAGTTTAAGTCAATGTTATGGTACGTGAACAGATGACACTGAAAACAGCAGCCCCTCCATCTCATTCTCTCCATCTGATAATGTCTACTGATGCAAAATGCATGTGACCTCTTTGTACTGTGGAGTTTAACTGCGCCACATGTTAAGTTGTGGGTGAACATATCAGACGACACAGCGATTCTTCAAACATTTCTTGTTTATTCACAGCCCAGAACAGAACTGAACTGAAGGGTTCAGCCAGCCTGCTTATATAGAGCTCCACTAGAACGCAACAGTAACCATTTTCTGTAACTATCCAATCACTGAACGTCACTTTCAATCCCTTATTTGCATATGTGGACATGAGTGAAAACTATCTACAGTATCCCCCTGCTGGCCCAGGGTGAGAACTTCAGTACATAACACCACGTTTGCTAGCATTCTTAATCCAGGTCTACTACGAATGTATGTGAGAGGACTTGAGTGCATGCGGTTACATGTGACTCTGCAATATATGAAATTTGTCTTTCCCATGCATCCTTTTTAAGGACCAAAGAAAAAAGGGAAAGAAATCCATTATGCTGTATGTGCACAATTATATTTGTCAGTATCTATGTCCCCTCCTAAAAGAACAGAGCAAGTTAGAACAATGTAGGGCGGGCCAAATCCTCACAAGTCATGTGTGGCACCTAACAGGGAGCTCATTATACCTTCCGTTTCTGCTGTCTACTAAGGGCTAGGAAAAATAGGGTCGTCCAGAAGCAGATGGGTTCATGTGCTGCAGTTGGTTTGGTGTTCCCCACATTGTGCATGTTTGACATATGGCAATAGAAATATTATTTCACTCTTTTTTGTTTTTGTTTCTGTCAAGCTCAAGAGATTGACGCATTCACAAATCCTGCTCAACAAGGTTTTAAAAAGACGTTCAAATTGAAACCCTTTGGATTCTGGCTGCAGTCCACAAACCACTTATTCCATCGTAGGTCCATTGAAATTATTGGGAGTGTTTGAGAGTAAGTGGGTTTTGGCTGTTAGCCCAGGTCTTTAAAGGCATTTTCCTTTTACAGTAACAGCCCATATTTCATCTTCAGTCAGTAAGCAATGGTGGATTTTCTTTTTTATTATTATTCTTTTGTGTCATTTTTTTATAGGACACAGCCCCATAAAGAAGAATATTGAAACACATGTTGCAGATATTAGAAGTAGAAATTAAAATTTTCCTGTGCCCACTGCTAGGGTAAATTCAACCATTTGTTCAGTCACTTTGTGTATACTGTATACCCTCTTTCTTTTCTGTGGAACTCAATGCAGCATATAAAAAATTCCCAGGCTATCCCCATTCACCCAGGCACAGAATTAGATTGTGGCCTGTTTAGTATTAGCTGCATCATGTACCTTAATACCATGCCTGATGCCTCTTTGTTCTGTTTTGCTCATTCCTGACATTTGAAGATCTTAAAAGTGAGATGGCTTTATATTTAGGGTTCTGTAAGATAACATACTATTGCATGTTGTCGTATATGAGAGTTTTCTGTCATTCATTTCCATATAGCTTGCTTCTTTGACTACCAAAACAGGAAATTGATGTCTTTTGTTAGTAATTGATCCAGGTAGTGTTCCTCCCGGGCAAATTCCCTAGAAATTACTGAAGCATATGTCACAGACATGCTTGACAGATAGTTCCCAGCGCATTTTTCCTGATAATCTATCCAATTTTTCTATGCAGCGCAATATTTTTGTGTATTGAAGTTGCATTTAATGACAAGGCTGCATAGATGGGAAATATTATACCAAGCCCTCTTTTTCTCTAGCTTTCCTTTCCTTTGTAAAACAAACAAATAAATCTCTTCAGTGTTTATTTGACCCTTTTGCCATTCAAAAGAGGAAGTGGAAGATAGAAGAGGAGTGAATTATTGTGGGTAAGCGATACCTGAAAGATTATCTCATTCCTTATATACACAATTGATCACCATGCTCTGCAGATAACTATTTTATGAGGTCTGTTCCACATAACGTAGGAATGTAGTGCCTTTAGTGTTGTGGCCCCCACCCTTTGGAATTCCTTCCCCTTGAATATAAGGCAGATTCCATTTCGGTTGTGTTTTTGGCACATGCTGAATACTTTTCTCTTAGAACAAGCTTTTTAAACAGAGATATTTCCCAGTTTGCATCTGTATTAGAATGGTTTCTAGACTTTTAAATACATTTTCATTGTTCTGTCACTAGTTGTATTACCCCTACCCCCTAGGCCGGGGAGGGCAGGGTATAAATAAATTATTATTATTATTATTATTATTATTATTATTATTATTATTATTACTTTGACTAATGATCTAATCTAACCAGTGAATGTGGGTTTTTCTCCCAAACAGGCTCCTTTTTTTTTTCCTCTCCAGGGTCATTTCACATAAAATCAACACACAAAAAAAGGGTTTCGTCACCCAACATCTCGGATTTTGAAGAAATCTGGTGTACACCCTTCCCTTATGGTTGAAAGAAAACCCCTTAATTTTCCCCCCTCTATCTCAAACAGTTTTAATTTTATAGCACTTCAAAGTTTCGTGAAATCTGCGTTGTCTGTCCCTGTTGAGACCTTTGGCACATGTACATTTTTTTCTTCTTCTCCATAACCAATGATCAGATCTCTTTGAAATTTGACACAAAGCTCAATAAGAGGATGTGGATTTCAGGAAAAAAATACACCAGCACTCAAAAGATTTTATAATGCCTAAAGAGTGCATTATAAAAGTCCTGACAGAGAGAAGATTATCTCATCCCATTGCATTGTTTCTGATGATTTAAAGCATGATGTGAATATGGTATACAAACCTTTCCTATGGATTGTAGGAAAGTTGTACCCAGTAGCCACTTTTTCCCCACAAAGTCCAAAAAATGTAAAATTTTCGTTACAAGGAATAAAAAAACCATAAATTTCATTCTTTGTTGAGAAAGAGCATGTCTTTGCAATAATTTTCAACATCAGAAACGTTTGGTTGCATCATGACCACACGCTGAAAATTGAGGTTTTCTAAACCTAGGTTTTCCACCAAAAAAAGTACATTTTTAAAACAAATTAGGCATTTATAAAATCTTTTCAATGCTGGTGTATTTTTTCCTGAAATCCTCATCCTCTTATTGAGCTCTGTGTAAAATTTTAAAGAGATCTGATCATTGGTTATGGAGAGAAAAAATAAATGTACATGTGCCAAGGGTCTCAAGAGGGACAGACAACACAGATTTCATGAAACTTTGAAGTGCTGTAAAATTAAAACCATTTGAGATAGAGGGGGAAAATTAAGGGAGTTTCTTTCAACCATAAGGGAAGGGTGTACACCAAGTTTCATCCAAATCCGAGATGGTGGGAGACATGACTACATTGACATGACATGGAATGACCCTTCATGCAAAAATTAAAATGGGTTTTGTATAATGTCAGCTCTTCATTGGTGATTTTTAAATTTATTTTTATTTTTATTAACAGTATTTATATGCAGTCCAATAACAAAGTTTTCTGGCCAGCTAATAATAATAACAATAATAATAATAATAATAATAATAACAACAATAACAACAACAACAACAACATCAAAATGTTGTTATAAGCCTTAAGAACAAGAAAAATTCTAACACAGCATACAACTTAGCAATAGAGAATAAAGCTGGTATAATAATAGTAAGAATAATAAGAATAAGAATAAGAATAAGATTCATCTGACTGGGTTGTCCCAGCCACTCTGGGTGCCTTCCAACAAATCAAAACATCAAACACAGTAAATATGTAACATTAAAAGCTTCCCTATGCAGGGCTGCCTTCAGATGTCTGCTAAACGTCTACTAAAAGCCAAAGCAAAATTGTATCTTTAAAAGGTATGAGAAGATTTTTTAAAAATGTTTGTCTGGCCCCAAACAGAGCACAAAGAAGGCACTGGGTAAGCCCTTTTTTGGAACAAAACCCCACACCATCAGAAAGGTCCTCTCACCCCAGTATTCACAGTCTGCACCCCACTTCCTCAGGGCACTTGGAGGATTAAGGGCCTTTGAGGATACTCTCAAGGTCTAAGTAGATATACGTGAAAAAATGATTTTTTTCAAGTTAACATTGACCCTTCAGTATTTTATTTTTACTATACACCTATCGCACTACTTCCTTCTCTTAACTAGACAAACACAAAGGGGTGGGGGGTTTTGTATGTGTTGTTTTTTGCACCGAGGGAGCCTTGAAGCATTAGAGAGACTAAATGGTGCTGCCTGGCCATGGTAGAGCAGCTTTGCAGTAGTGGTACAGTACCTATATACCTCAGGATTTACCCTTAAATTCTCTGTAGCCTTTTTTTGCTCTCCTATAATATTTGCTCCCTCTCCCTCTCCCCACCTCTCTCTCTCTCTGCTATTCTTATCTTGAGCAACTTTTCTGGTTGAGCAATATTTTCCAGCAAGCAAACATGCGAGCAGGAGTTCAGACTTTGCCATTTTGTGTTAAGTGATGTGTTCAAGGTGGTTGAAAAAAGCATCTTACATTAGCAAAAGAAAAAGAGTTCGGATTTTACTGTAGGCGACAGAAAAGTTGGTACTCTCAGGTTCATTCAAGCACAGGCAGCCACTATTCTAGTACAGGCCACTTCTGGTGGTGAGCTTAGATATTGTTCTACTGTTAAAAGGACTCTTGCTTGAAGTTACCATCAAAGGAGAACAAACTAAGGCAGCTTTTAATTGGGCTTAGGTGATTAGATCAAAATTAAAAGATGTTATAAGGCCATATTGTTTGAAGCCTGGCAGGCTGGAGTTACCCAAAGTCTTTGTCCCTCGTTTCCCTGTCACCTTTTTATGTGTTAGATCCTGAGAACTCCGAAAAGAAAGAAGCTTGTGGGTGGTTTCTCTCCTGTTATTCCATTGTCACTTTTAAAAGACCCCTTGGAAGTTTGTGGGACCCACCTAAGCAACAGGGGTTCTGAGGGCGCTAGGAAAGGTGGAAGGGGCCAAAACTGGTCAGAGAGTATGCTTGTAATCGCTGCCCAGTTCTGAATTGAGCTGTGAGTACAGTTTGCCTTGTACTACCTATTTCTCCCACCTGATATCCCGACAACTGGAATACCATTTAAAATTGACAAGCATCACGGCAGCAAGGATGCTCTCAGCCCAGAGATGGAAAGAAGGAGAAGTACCAACCAAAGAGGAATGGCAGACCAAGCTAATGGAATATGCAGAAATGGCAGGACTGACGGGAAAGATCAGAAACTAGGGAGACCAAGTATTCCTAAAAGATTGGAAATTCTTAATAAACTTAAAAGACCACTGTAGACAGTTAAAATCATGGGCAGGGATACAATGACACTGGTAATGTGAAATGAATTTTGGTAGCTATGATTTTTTAATAGGTGGATAATGGTAAACGATGCAGGAAAAAAAGAAAAATATAATTTTTTGGGAAATGGAACCCATGGAGGGAGGGGAGGAGGCCTGAAGTTTCAAAAGAACCTTTTTATTTTTATGTTTTTGAATCGTTATAGTTATTGTGCATAAATTTATGTAAAACCAATAATTCGGGGGGGGGATAAAGTTGACAAGCATCATCATTCAGTTTATTAAGATTAATCATAACATCCACAGCTGCCTGATGAACACACAATTGAATATTCATTTTTCAAAATTTGCAAAAAGTACACCCTACTTTTCAACTTAGCCAGTTTCCAGAGTTATATTTAAAATGTCAAAATACAGCAATAAATAAAAACTGAACAACAATCCAAAGATTAAAACAACATAAACAAAAACAGCAGATCTACTGAACAGCAGATAAAACTCAAACAAATGAAAAACAGAAAATAAAACCAGCAGGCACGAATGAAATGTCATGCCCCACTTTGTTTCAGAATCAAATTTCTGTCTTCCTATGTGAGTAGGAACCAGGGACTGATGTAATATCCGGGTTCTAATATGGGCATCATTTGTGAAACACCTTTCATACGGAAAACTAGAGGGTCATAGAATATTTGAGCTGGAAGGGTCATTTAGGCCAACTCCTGGCTTAATGAATGAATCTTGTAACTACAGTATAGCATCTCTTGGTAGCTGCAGCAAAGGACAGTCCACTAACTCTGTCTGCAACAGCTTGTGCCATTAGGAAGCTTCCCCCAACATTTATATTTTCTGTGGTGGCTCCACACTTGTGGAATTCTCTCGCCTTTGTTACATACCTTTAGGTTCCAGGCAAAAACATTCCACTTCTCCCAGGCCTTCAGCTAATTAAACAATTAAACAGCTAATTAAACCTTTTAAACTTGCAGGGGGTATTGTTTTTGTTTGTTACTATGTTATGTATTTTGTGTTTTTATGTTGTAAATGTTGGGATACTGCCAGGCAGACAAAGTCCATCATGGCCCCCAAGCCGGCTGCTGGACGATCCATCGATCTCCCGTAGGCACGCAGTATCAGCAATTAGCGACATGAGCTCCAGAAATAGCCTGCCACATTCTAGAGCCGATGCACGCTCTCTATCAGCAGATAATGCACAGCGAAAGTTGCACGCAGGAGAGCATTATTTACAAGTTTTATTCTGCGTTGATCAGAACAAAGAAAAACATGACTGCCTGCTTCAGTGTCTCTGACACACAGAGAGAAACGAAAGCAATAGAAAACATAAACTTCCTGTGAACAGGAAATGCGCAGACTCTGTGACTCACAAAGCCTGCTCCCTTTTAAGGTGGAACGGAAATATCCTAACAGTAAACAGCCCTGTGATCCTCAGATGAAGAGTGGTAAATAATAATAATAATACATGAAATTTGCTTTCTTGAAATTTCCACCCATTGCTTCTAATTCTGTCCTCTGGAACAACAAAGAACAAATCTTCACCATCTTTTGCTTGACAGCCCTTCAGCTATTTGAGCACAGTTATCAGGTTAATCTCTGGACCAAAAGCATACCCAGCAGTATAGGCAGATGCAAGATTAGGAGGCAATTCTTGCTTTTGTTTAAGAACATTAGTCTCTGACCATATCCAGCCATGTACAACTAATCATGTGCCATAATAAATGGGAAATAAATGTCTCCATTTGCATCAGCTCTCTGGAGTCCAGCTATCTATAGCAATGACCGCTCCCCGCTTAAAACGGGGGGCGCCCTTTGCGTGGACGCGCGCAGCCCTGGATCTGGAGTGGCCCCATCAGCATAGGCTTGGCTTTGCCTTCCCTCAGGTGGGATACCTGGAGGTTCCCGCCTACCTCAGTCAGTTGTCCAATCCCACCTGGGGGAAGCGTTGCCAAGGAGACCAGGCCAGGTAGGGGGAGGGATTACCTGCCCACACAATAGAGGGAGGATCTTACCTGGGAATCCTCACTTGGCTCCAGAGCTCTCTGGAGTCCAGCTATCTATAGCAATGTGAATTTGAAAGTGCCTTCAGAAGTGCATTGGCATCTGCACTGCCCAGTTCTACAGAAGTCCATTTCTATTTGTTGCTCTCCCATGCTAGATAGGGATGACTATATATTTGCAATTTTTCTTCCCCTGATCAGATATTAATGAAGGCAGTTTTTCTTATTACATATTAATGAATGCTACAAAATGAGAGCTCTTTTTTAAGGGAAACTTGCATGAAAAGCATAACTTACTTATTGTAAGTTCCTTCTAGCAATAAACTTTACAAAGGCAGGTTACAACTTGCCCCAAGTTTGCCCCTAGGCAGTAAAACTGTGCTGTTGATAGTTATATAGCTTCACCTAGTTCCAAAATGCTTGCTCCCTTATATAGCCATTACTTGAGACTTTGGCATTTATAAGCAATGGTATTACAGAAAGCTTACTTTCGTGACAGTTAATAGCTAAAGGCCAAGTTCCAAAGAAGCATGAAGGAAGAACTGTGTGGAGCTTTTCTTTATTCTTTTTGCTGTTTGTTTTTTGTTGCAGCGGTTCTCACTACCAGAGACACAAGCCTTTTAAAAATCTGAATAGTAGCTTTCATCTTCGGAGGTTAAAAAGAAAACACAACAATTCCTTTGCATGCAGTTTCACACAATTTCTGGCTGAAGTGATTTCAAAAAACAAAATTGCACATCTATCACAAACAATTTAAAAGAAAATACAGGCCGCACAAGCTAATATGCTGTGTATTTTAGCTTGATGCCCATATGCAGGGTTTTGGGTTTTTTCCCCTCTTTTGTACAAATCCCAGGACAGAGATATCACAAATAGTATTATTGACCTCAGATGGAATCTTCTTGGGCATTCTTTGTGGGACATACTTAGTTCTTGCCAGACATCAATGTATTGGAGGGGAAGATGGTTATTGGTGAAAATGTGATCTCTTGGAAAGTTTTACTGCTATTATTTTATTTACTGATGATTGCTTCAGAACTCTGAGGCTTCCTTGTCCATATAGGATGTTTTATCGCACTCTTGAGCAGTGTTATCATGCATCATTGTATGAAATATGACCAAAAGATGGAAGTTTTTCAAAGGGTGTTTTTTTAGCGTGCAGCTAAACACAAAATGTAGAGTTGGGGGGAATTAATGGAGTTGGAAAGCTGATAATGTGCAGTTGGGAAAATGAGAAAGTTGACACATTAAGTATATGTGTATATTAAACAATTAAATGACAGTCAGTGTCAGGGACTGCATGCTGACAAATTATATAAGAGTAGAATGTGTTCCTGCAGTTTCTTTTTGGTCAGAACCTCCTTCACCTTACATCCTTGTAAATACCCGTAGAATGCTTTGGTATCTATTAGTTACTGAACTAAGCTAGATTAATAAATGAAGCATTGCTGTGCAGTAGATAATAACTGGTGACTTCTATGGAGAAAGCTTCAGTGATACAAGGTTTAAGGAAGGAGCAAAGCATGCTGGGCAGCTGAGATTGGTGGGGCAGTGCCCCATTTGCTCTTTGGATCAGCCCCCACTGCCCTGAAGACACCTGTGTAGACAGCATAGTATGTACCAGAATCTGGGAAGTAGAAGAAGAACCTCTAAAAGCTAAAACATCCTGCCTGAAACATAAGCTGCTATCTAATCTCTTAAAATTAGAGCCGTTTGGGTTCATCCAGATTCTGGAGCATTGATTTTGGACATCCAGTGTGGCCAAACTGTCTCCTAAAACAACTGACTGGGTTGATCTGTCCCCAACGAGAAAAATACCATCATAAAGCTGTTCACTGCAATCCACCACTTCCTTTCAGGATCTGGGACTCCTGCTGCTTGCTTTTCAGAGACATTAGAAAAGGTAACTAGAGCATCGGAGCTTTGAATGGATTTGGGGTCCGGCCCTGGTCTTTGCTCACATTTGGGTGATGATACTTTCCATGAAGGGTTATTGGGGTTGGTGGTTGGGGAATAACTGCAGCAGGGCCTTCCCCCAAACCACCACCCATTCCTCCTAATATTGACTTTAAATTAGAATATTAGGGGGGGGGGAATTACCTGGATTTCCCCTAGCATAAGCCTGTTCAACTCCAGATTTATATTGCCCAGATTACTAGCTATCTGAACCTGAAACTTTTACATCAAGAAGCAAGTGTGAAAATCTTATACTTTAAAGACTGGCATTCATGGCATATGCTTCCTGGTGCCTATAAAACGGAAGACCTTTTTGTGAATTAGTGAACACTGGTAAGGTTATTGGGGTTTTCTAGCATTTTAAGCAACTTCAGAAAAGGAATGTGATTTAACAAGCGAATATCCCAGCCACATGCCACAAATAATTTAAATTAACACTTCCATTTATGGTCTCATATTTATTGAATATAACTATATCTGCTCTTCGGCTTGCTATTGTCAAGGGTGCCATACTGTGCTGTCATATCCTACTTAATCATGTTTCATCGCTAAGGGATCGTTGTATGCATAAGTAAGCATTAGCATGCAGAGCATAACTTCTGGGAATAGATATCAGCTTTTATTATGAGTTCATCACCTGACTCAGAGAGGGCAAAGCACTGCAGGTCAAAAATGCAAGTGCCAAAGAAACGTGAAGAGAGAGACTGTGTACAAGTGTCGATATGCTAATGCTAGAAGCCCCTGAGACAAGATTTGTGAACTGGAGTGCTGGGTCTTAGAGGATGGCATTGATCTGGTAGGCATAACTGAAACCTGGTGTAACAGAGAGAACCAGTGGGACATGTGAGACACTGCCAGTGCATCTACTTGGCCCTGGCCTTACCTGTGCCCCACACCATCCCAGTAAGCAAGAAATACACCACTGTTGACAGGGCAGCAGCACAACACTGTACCATCTACTCCTGCATGCTCCCTTCCTGTTCTTTTAGCATGCTAGTTGTACCAGTTTCAAAGGATGGCTCTGCCATTTTGGAACTGGCCATCCATGTGGCGGAATTCTTCGGTGGGGATAATGTGAATTGATTCATTGGGTCGAAAGCCAGAAATTAAGAATATAGCAAACATTTTCAAAGCAGTACAATTAAGGGGGTGAAACTTCAAGGTTGTCAAGGGAACTGGTTTTCTTGAATGAGGGTTTAATTGAGTGACCAATCTCCTGAAAAGTTTTTGCATTCAATTCCATAAGAAATCTGAATACATGGTTAAAATTAATTTTGGCCCATTAATTATATAGCCAGTTAATGTACTGAACATACCGGTATTGCAAACAAAGTCCTGTAGTTTTCTGAGTAGGGGGGAAATAAAAATAATTAAATTAAATGATGTGCTTATCATCCTGGGATTTTAAAAATTCATTCCAATTGTATTCCTGCTTTTCTTTCTATAGTATGTGAAACTGTTTTTGATATACTGTTAATAAATATGAGATCTGTATATCTCTTGGGTCAAATACACCTTAATGTTACTGACCCAATCTTGACAGGACATGGCAGCATCTCTATCTCCTGTACTGCTTCTGAGGTGAATCATTCAGTCTCTGAGATAGATTCCTGACAATTTAAAAAATTGTGGTGGTGTTGGTAATAAATCCAGCGACAAAACTTGAGGCTTACCCCTCTTCCCTGTCATCTTTTTTCCCCTGCTCAGTGATTGATTCCTTTAATCCCCCTTTGTTTACAAATAAAATTTGGTTCTGTATTGATAAATGACATGTTAGAAAGGGAAAGGTCAATTGCACCACTTTTATTTACTGTCCAAAAAATAGCTTCCCTTAGTCTTGGGGCAACTGATGAAATCCTAGGGTCTTATTGGGGTTCACTCTGGGTCCAGAACCACTGGAAGTAGCCAACTTCCTACCTTCTTCACATTGTCATGACACTATTGTGGTATAGCGTGGACAAGGCCTAGTCACCATAGCAACCATTTCTCTGTCTTTCCCCTCAGTTCAGAATCTAGAGGTCCAAGCCGAAAAAATCTCTGTTCTCCATTGCAATTGGAAACAGAGGCTGTTTATGAGCCATAGATTTGAACCAATTCCATTCCATTGCTCTATGGGCCTTTGCTTCAGTACTCCTGAACACAAACCGCACACACCCAAAACAAAGTAACAACAACAACAACCTGGTGCAAAATTTCTAAAAACTCACACAGCTTTTTTTCCCAGTTTTAATCCCAATCTGTCTACAATATAATGATAGGTTAAATTAGTTACTTATAAAGCAACTACGTAATATATAGTATTTTAGAAATAATATATACGCTGGTTGGTAGCAGCCCCAGTGACATGAGATTTTTTTACAATCAAGCAGTATATAAATTTTATGAAATAAATAAATAATTTATTTCCAGGGATAGAATCCTGTGTCTGTATATTCCTTTCTGTTTTATGGGTTAAGCTGGTTGGTGGTCAAATAACAATGCTGAAAAGGTAATGATTGGTATTAGAGCTCCCTCTATGGGGTTTATATGTAATTGCTTAGTTGCTTGTTTGTCAATGTAGATGTGTTCTAGATAATAATATTTGCTATTCTGGTTATTACTAGCCAGTGTCATTAATTCTGAATGTATTAAAAGTAGTGCCAATCCGAAGAAAGATAACTGAGTTTCTTAGCGCTAACAATGTATGTTAAATTGATAACTTTGATAGCATAGAACACAGGTTGGCTTTCATAGTACTAATTGTAAGAGATTTATTTTGTGATTTTGGACTTTCTCTTTAAGGTGTATTCAAGTAGGAAAATTTATGGATATGTAGCTTCAAAATGGTAGCCAATGGAGAAGTTGTTGCTGTAGTAACATGCACTAACTACGGGTTGCTGACTGAGCCAAAATCGGTAGGGGACCTTAGAGGAAATGAATAGGAATGGGAGTGAAATTTGATTCAGTGCACATTTAAAGTTGAATTTATCAATTAGACACTTTCCAAAGCAATGTGAAAACCGAAACACAGCCATCTTTCAAAATTTGCACTTAACCGAATTCTGTGACGCAATTCTCCAACCAATGTTTACAAAAATGCATTATATTAGGAGAGTTTGCTTGCATAAATGTGTGCATTGGTCAAAACTGCAGACAAAAATGTGTTTACTATGAGAAATTCACACTAAAATACTGAAGAATTTCCATGAGGGCTTTTTATAATGAAATCGACAAATCACTGCAGAAATGTGGAGAACTGAATTTAAGAATGGAAAAATGAGATCCTTCCAACCCTAGAAATGAATATGTGCAAATGGGCATTCAGATTTTGGCTACTTGAGGGTGGCTACATCAGGATGTTGGAGCCAAACATATTAGCCCCATGGCTTCTATTGGCATCTAGTCTTCTGGTAACTTAACCCTAGGTTGGAAACAGCATCAGCCACATCTGAGACCATTTGGAAGTGATGTTTCTAAAAATCTTAAGCAATAATAACTCTGGCTCACTCTGAAACACTATATTTCAAACCTAATTGGAATTACCCTGTGTCAAATGGGAACAGACACGTGAGTGAATTCTTAACACTGTATTATCTGGCTTGATGCTTGTGAACGGTGGATCTTTTACACATACAAAAGATAGTGATTTAGCCTCTTATTTGCTCTTAGTATCTTCTCAAACACCTGTGATTTTGATACAGATTTTTTTAATGTTCACAGCTTTGCTGCATACTTACTGTTTTGATTATTTTTTATCACATTTCTTCATCTAGAAAAGTAACACAGAAGCATTAGAGCTCCACTTTATATAGGATAAAACATTGCTATCAGTGATAGACATCTTTAGAGAAGATCAAACCTATCCATTCTTAAGGAAATCAGCCCTGAGTGCTCACTAGAAGGACAGATCCTGAAGCTGAGGCTCCAATACTTTGGCCACCTCATGAGAAGAGAAGACTCCCTGGAAAAGACCCTGATGTTGGGAAAGATGGAGGGCACAAGGAGAAGGGGACAACAGAGGATGAGATGGTTGGACAGTGTTCTCGAAGCTACCAGCATGAATTTGACCAAACTGCAGGAGGCAGTGGAAGACAGAAGTGCCTGGCGTGCTCTGGTCTATGGGGTAACGAGGAGTCGGACATAACTAAACAACAACAACAAATTGGTCATAGAAAAATACTACTAAGCATTACAGTACTTATGATTGCTGTTGCTAGTAATTACTGTAGTGCCTTGTCACAGTGACAGTCAAATGTAAAAATCAATACAATGTAAAAAAAAAAGTCATTCATATGAGGTAGAATAAATGATTACTGGTGGAAATCTTTTGAAGGCCTTTTAAAAAAAAAATGAATTTTCTGTGCCATAAGTTCATTAGTAACAATAAATAAATACCAAGTTTTATCATTTCAGCTTATTATTATTATACTAAATACAAGAAAAATTAACATGCTAAATTAGATCACTCTAGCACAGAGGTAACCAATGTGGTGCCCTCCAGATGTTTTGTTGGACTACAACTCCCATCATCCCTGACCATTGACCATAATGGATGTGGGTAATGGGACTTGTCGTCCAACAACATCTGAAGGGCACCACATTTGCTACCCTTGCTCTATGGAATTTCCCAGTGCAAACTGAAAATTATTGAAAACATTTACAGAAAACGTTTATTTCCCCAGGCCTTAATTTTTCAACATTTCTCATAAATTCCTAGTATTTTATAAAACATATTCTATACCTATCATTCTTTTTGGGTAAAAGGTCCCAGTCCAGCACTTTTAAAAGAGAAAACAAAAGACCTGCCTCTCCTGACCTCATGGTCCACTCTAACTGCAGACTTGGCATAAGAACACCTCTGAGAGGACTCTGCTGGCATTAAAAAGAGAGTTCTGAAACATCGTGCAAGGAATGAATCTTTACAACCACCAGGGATGCTGAAGAACATCTTTGTACAAGTTATACTCCGAACAGGATATTTTGCCCTCATGAATGTGATTTCAAAAGAAATCAATGAGGATAACAGCCATGCATTTGAGAACGGAAGTCAGCTGTAATCTAAGAAGAAGGGTTACAAAAATAGCACATTAACAGGGCATTGCGGCATTAGAGCAGCGAGTCAGCATCTGATCGTGTCTCTAGGGTTGTTGGTTGGAGTAAAAGGGTGAGAGGGTAGAGCCAAAGGAGAAATTGTGATCTTTAAAATCAGTAATTACTCTGAACTTGTGTGGCATCTGCTGCTATAAATAGTGTTTAATCCAAGGCTGGAATTACTTTTGACAGGAATCAGAAATTATAGTACTTAAGTTAAATCTTTCCCCTTTTTAGTCCAGTTTTTATCTTTGTGCAGTACTGCATGCAGTTTGAAAACATTTTAAGGTACTGTATTTGACTAGGTTAAATAAAACATCAGGAAAAATGACATTTTATTCACACATTTGTTTTGCAAGCCCCTCAGAATTCATTACTCACCCAGGGGTGATTGACTCTTTTTAGACTTAGGGACAGAACTTAATCTTGTGGGAAAATTCGTACCATGCCTCTTCTTCTCTCCTCTTCCCCCCCCCCCATATGATTTTTCGTGGTATATTTAGGGCTACAAATATATACATCTGTATGTTTTAAACAGATTATATATATATATATATATATATATATATATATATAATCGTTTTAATTCTATCAATGTTTAATTGTATTTCAATGATGGATTGCTCTACATTTTAGCAGTTCTTGTATTTATCTGTAAGCCACCTTGAGTCCCGCCAGAGAAAAAGGCGAAGTATAAATACATAAATAATAATAACAATAATAATATTATCATCTGTATTGTTAAATCATACACCTTAAAAGATGTCTATAGAATTACAAGGTTTGTATATAATTCTTCAAAAATATACCATTTTAAAAAACTGTCTAGAATGTCTAAACTGTGGAGACAGATAAATTATGGAAATAACATTTTCTGTTTGATATTTTTTATATATTGTTGCAGCCCAGAAGATGGTGAGATTCATCCTGAGATCTGTAGACTATATATTCAGTTGCAGTGTTGCTTAGAAATGTATACGACAGAGATGCTAAAATCCATATGCCTACTAGGATCACTTCAGCTTCATCGAAAAGGTATTCACCTACATCATAAATGCTCTTGATCTTGCTTCATTCACTTCACTTGTCATTGGCTATGTGTTAAACAGGACTTTTGCCATGCAGCTTCATCTGTTATTCTCCAACCAGCCTGCCTATGGGATGTTAGAACGCTTTTATGCCTCATTCTGGACAACTGTGTCCGTGCCAAAATGCATCTAGAATTCTTGAAAACTTAGCCTACACTGTTGATTTCAGTGGAATATGCACATGGATTAGTTGCTTCCATTGAAATAGAAAGAATCAATATATTGATCATAACCATAAGTCATTACAAGATAAAATTGAGATAAGTAGCAAAAAATTATTATAAAATCCATCTTACATATTTATTAAATATTTGTTTGTTTGTTACATTTAGATCCTGCCTTTCATCCAAAGAGCTCAAGGTCATGATCACCCCACACTCACATCCTATTCCTTCTTCCTTAACTCCTCCATACGCATAGTTAAAATTTATAGTTTTGCAGGAATTTAGACCCAAAAATCCCATATCCAAGAACAACACTATTTCCATTGGCCCGTAATCATTAAAAGAGATGCAATGGTTTCCTTTTAGGACTGTAGTTCCTCTTTGGTTTTTCCACCTAAATAGGCCTCGGGTGAATTGATTGGGAAGCTGTGGTCCTCTTGTTGGATTCCATCAGCTCCGGCACACATGGCTAGTGGTTAGGAATGATAGGGGTTGTTTTTTCCGGATTGATGTTTGCCTTGATTTATAGCTAAAGGGTGGGTTTTCCCTAGGAAAAGAGTGGGGCAAGGGGAAAACCTCTCGTGCCCATGCTTTTTAGGCATGGGACAATCATGCCTATGGATGAGCCCTAATGCCCTAGTCCCTTCGTCCTCTTCAATTCTTTCATACTTATCAGTGGGCTGCACACTGAGCTTGCATATGTCTATCTGGCATAGATTGTGGTGTGTTATAACATATCTAGCAGGTTGCATTTCATCAATATATTTCACAGCTGCTGCATCGTCTATGCCTAGCACTATTGGCTCTATGTACAGTTTTCCAAGGAAAAGTCTACTGAGCTAGCCTAGTTGATGTGTGTTAGCTTTTTCATGGAAGTTTTCATGAGAACCAGAAAGGGCTGAACAAATGTTAGCATTTGTGAATAAGTATGGCCCAAGTCTGGTCTCTGCTGGAGGAGGAGAGGGGGAAGACTGTACTTATAGGTGTTTAGCAAAAGCAGGCTGTTCTGTTCAGCACTTTTGCTAACTTCATCTTCCTCATGGGTATAGAACAACTCTGCAGAATCAAAGCCTGGGGCTCTTTGTTGCTTTTTATATCTTTTGTAAAGTTCAGCTAGTTACCCAAGTTCAGACTACTCCTGGAGGGAGCTGACCTACAGGAGGAAAAGTAGGCTGCTTGTATAGTGGAAAAAATCTCAAGAACAAAAATAGCTGCTCCACAGAAATACATCGAGCTGTTTCTAATCCAGATGTGCCCTTCTCTTGCAAACACGATGCTTTCCTCCCACACACTAATTGGGCAGAAGACAACGTTAGCATGCCTTGTGTAGGGCACATCTACTGTGGAGCCATATAAGAAATGCATCTCCGCTCATCTGTTCCCTGTTAATTCATGCCAGTAAACAATACTAGGAAATGTGGGGACGTACTTTCCATCAATAGGACCTGTTCTTACAGCTGTCATTATTTATAAAGCACATTTATATAAGCGGTGAATGCTTTTAATGCACAAATGCTGTTGGGTTTTTATAATATTTTCACAATAAGCCCTCATTTCTGTAGTAGCTTGCTACTCTAAATGCCCAGTCATAATTTGGGGAGCTGCTGCAGCGTAATGTGAGTTGGGAAGCCTCATCTGGTTCAAATATTTACTTCAACCATGAACTTGCTGGGTAGCTTTAGGCAAGGCAGCATTTCCTCAGCTTTTTTCTACCCTCTCCCCAATCTGTAGCATGGCAACAAAGATATATTTTACAGCATTGTTGTCAGGATTACTAAGGATACATTTGAAGTGTTTGGCACAGTCAGGAAAAGTGTTACATAACTGCAAATTTTATTAGAAAATATTCATAGGGAACAAAGGAAGGTAGCCTACACCAGGTCAGGTGGTTTTTCCTTTTAGCCCAGCGCAGTTAGAAAAGTATCCAAAATGACATACCCAGACAGTGCTTAATTGCATCCACCCCTGACTTTGGGTTAACTATAGCCTCCAAGTAGGAATAGAGGTGAGTGGTCTTTATTTGGAAAATGTGGTGCAAATTGATCTCCGCAGGCTTCATCCGTTCATCACCTGGGCCCATGTGAAAGAGGCCCTAACCACTCAAATTAGATTCACTGGCTAACATTGTGCATTTGCAATAATAATAATAAATTAATTATACCCCGCCCAGCCCAGAGTTTCCCCAGCCACTCTGGGCGGCTCCCAATCGAGTCTTAAAAACAATACAGCATTAAATATTAAAAACTTCCCTAAACAGGTCTGCCTTCAGATGTCTTTTAAAAATAAGGTGGTGGCGAGGTAAATTTTCTTCACTACTGTTGCCACCACAGAGCAGACCCTAAAGTGGTTTATAACTAAAGCTGGAATGAAATATTTTGTCTAGCTTTTTCCAGGTGAAGCAAAACACCCCTTCCAGTGTTGATTCAGTCTTTTCGGAGCAGGTAAAATTATTTCATAGGGAAGTCTCACCCTTCAAATAACAGGTAGCTGAGGGTGGTTCCTTTCCCTTTTAGCTGTTTCAAGGTGCAGCTTGATTGACCACAGCCATCCAGTAGTATCCATGGGGACAGAACATCCCTGGGAATGATGCAACATTAAGACGTAGCATTGCTCTCTGGAACATTCTTGTGGAGAAAAGATGGCTTCCCCCATGGACATCTAGTCAGGGCGATTGAATCCTAATAAAGCACAGCTACAGGGTTCTATATTTTCAGGAATTCTTCTTTGCTCCCTATTAGGCAGCAACTTAATACATGGAAAGGTTTTTTTAGTTGAAATATGGCTAGGAAATGTTGTTATTCAAATATTTTTTCACTTAGGCTAAATATTTCTATAACTAATCTAATTTTTAAGTAAGTTGCTGAGTACCACACAGATGTGATTGCAGAAGTGTTGAGTGCATCTATTGGATGGTGCATGTAAAATCTCAAGTCCAAACCCGCCCTCCAGCCTGCCATTTTATCTACAGTACTTCTTTTTAGAGCTGAGCACTTTCCCCACTAAAATTAGCCGTGAAGCATGGAGAGAGACCCTTAGAATTGTCAAAACAACTGGAATAACTCTTAAGGAACTGCTTTTTTCACCCACTGCTATTCACAGACTATGTACTCTTCTTTTCTTCATTTTTTTTTATTGCAAACATAGCACGAAAAGCGGTGAGGAAAGAAACAAAGTAAACTCCCATTAACAATAAAATAATCCCTTGAGAAAGATCAAAATAATCTCAGCAATCCTAATTTAAATAAACACACTAATATAGACAATCCATATGTTCTAATATGAATCCAAGCGAGGTTGACGTTTATAAAATAGACCTTGAAATGTAGAAAGGGCAGTAAGAACTTCAAACCACTGAGTAATGGATGGTGGGTGTTTGTCCTTTCAACCTTGAGCTATAAGTCTCTTTGCAGTCATAAAGACTCACAGGATCCACTTTTGTCATACCCTTACACTCCAGTGCTAAGCACACTAACTTTGGTTATTTATTTTATTTCAAATACATCTAAAACTATTATATTTCCATGTATGAATTCGTTGTATTTATATATCACCTTTCTGCCAAGATATCAAGGTGATTTACATATTTTAAAATACCAAAGCAAGCATGTCATAAGAGTTTTCTCAGATCCTTTAAGTGGCCCTTTTAGGAGCTGACAGCCTCACTTTAATATTTATTATCTACTTTTATTTCTCAAAGGAAACCAACAGCAGGCAAGGGGGGCGGGAAACAGGTCAATGCAACAATGTCAGAACAGTCAATGTAACCGCGGTTTGAACAATAAATTAGAAATAATTCCACAGTTATAGCAAATGAACATCAAAACAGTGCCACAAATTCAAAATGCCTATGAAAATTCAGGATGACATGCATTAAATGGCAATTCAGTTCAGGAATGACATAGTTTAAAATCCAAAAATATAGTGGGGCTATTTCTCTGTACCAAGGGTAACGTCAGTACACACATCCAATAAACGTAGTAACCTGTCTTGCAAAGGCTAAAATGGCTTGGGCTATTGTCAGGAATGCAGCCCAGGATTGGAGGAGTGCACAGAAACCTAGGCAATGCTACCAGCTATCAAAATACAGTATAATTTCATTTCTTCAAAAGCTGTTAGTCATGCAATACATTCACACATGCTCTGCAGTGATACACTTACCAAGATACTTGCTCTGTCTAACTAGATGGCCAGTCCAGTAGCATAGAGAGATGTATGAAGTGGGTGCCTATTATTATTATTATTATTATTATTATTATTTATAAATCCGGAGGTCTCAGTTTACCAATGTAAGCTTCATATGCTGTTTGGGGTGCTGCAGAGGTCTTCAACCAAAAGTGACTCTGGGCCCAAATTTCCTATATGGTGCTTAATCTGTTGCTACTTGACTAGTGAACTGATGTGCTGAATGCAGATATCTTTGGAATTGCAAGGAGTTCTCTAAATATGTGACCTAAGGTCATAATCTCTGACCTCTAGAGGGCAAATGGGCATAGCTGTCCTGAAACCTTACTCTCTTCTTCCAAGGGCTGCTCTCAGTAAACAATGTCCTGCTTATCTGTTCAGCAAGCTGTTTTTTCTTTGTGGCATGCTCACAGTCTAAGCATTTCGTAATTCATCTCATCCCTACAATAAATTCTTAATCACAATGTAATTGATTACATTAACAATAATAATATTATAAAGGTATATGAATATTTGCAAAATCTATAGCCACATTTGGCAAAATAATATCTGACTTACTGCGTTGTGGGACAGCATTGTCTAGATAAGTCCTTAGGCATGTCTTCCACAATCCTTGAAAAAATTGGTTGGCCTAACAGTTAGATACAAGTCTGACTACTGCCACATCCTGAAACCTCTTCTCCGTGTGTACTTCATAAAAAGAAGCAGAGAGAAGACTAATGTGAAAATTAATCCTACCCATCAACAGGTGAACCAGTGACCAGGAAAATCTTGAGAACTGTCTGGCAGCTTATTGTTAGCCATGCCTCATGACAAATTTAGGAATTTACAAGGTGTTGGCCTTCTGTGCACAGATGCCACTTCAGAGTTACCCTTTGTCTGGGGCTGAGTTGCTGCACTGGAAAATGTGGAATGACTGCCTGGAGGCAATCAAGTGCTTCTCATGTGGAAATTGCTGAATGCCAGAGTTTATTACTTTGTCCTCATTGTGAGTGTGCAACTAGCACTTGTGCTGTCTAAAAGAATTCATTATTTTGCAACAGTGCACTCAGTTGTCTCTTATATTCAAACAAATTTTTGATTTAATTCAATTAGAAGAGATCCTGAGCAAGGAACCCTCTAAACTATCAAAGGCTCCCTTTTGCTTTATTTTTTACATTTGTGTAGCTGGCCCATCACTTTCCACCTTACCCCTTTGACTCAGACCACTTGTGTTAGCCTGAGTGAGTTACCTTGTGTGTTAAATGAATTATTTCCAAAGCATGGCATTTTACCTAAACGAGGCCAAAAAAATCAATGTGAGACATGCTCTAAGGAATTCATATAATCAAACAGGTAGTTTAAAAAATGAAACATCTGTGACTCTGCTACAGTGCTTCCCTGATGGAAATTCAAAATGATATCGAAATGGTGCACTGAGGACACTCCAAAATAAAACCAGTGCTACACGGCATTTGCCAGACCCAGTTCAGAAACCTCCCAAACTGAAACTCATTGCACATTTGTTGTTTAGCATTTTGTGTGCAACATATAGCGAAACATCTTAGAACATAAAAGTTTTTGATAGTTAATGTTTTAACTTTCAAGGGTTAAAATATTAAACTAGGGTGTGTTTCTCGCCTAATTTTGAGCTAAGTAAGCATAAAAGGAATAAATTGGTTAAATAATGTGTTCTGGTTCCCTCACTCTTAATTTCAAAATGTACAAGTGCTATAAGAAACAAAAATTAAGTTGGAGGGGAGATCTTTAGATGTGCTGAGGAGGAGATGTTGAAATGTACTCACCTGTTTTCATAGGGAGAAATGAGGACCCTGAAAATGACTTTCAATGTTGTGGTGACTAAAATTGGGGTAGATGTTGCCTGATGCTCCAGGTTTATTCTGCACTGCTGTGTTTTATTTAATTACTGTTCTTTATGTACTATATTTTATTGTATTTATATTATGTTGGAAACTACCCCAAGTTCACTGTGTGATGAATGGCAGTCTAGAAATCATATATATACATAGTAAGAGATTTCATAGCAGTTTGTAGAGTGCTGTACAGCAATTGCATTTAATTATGTCTGACAGACAGATTAGTTAAGGAGATCATTACAAGATGCTCTGTGATAAGAATGGGGCTGCATGAGGGAAGAGGCATCATTGACAAATAATTTCATGCTATAAATAGAGTTCATAAGCAAAGATAGCCTTGGAAATGTGTGCATAACAATAGGTGGTGGACCCATAGAAAGAAGAGGGGTGGCTGAAGAGAAGCTGGACTTCTTTGGGAAGAGTAACAGAATAGAAATTTAAGAACTAAGAAATAATAATAAAGTTGTCAGGAGGTATCAGGCTGCGTACCTCACTAGTTGTTCACTTTCCTTTACTTAATAGAAGGGGAATGAAATCTACAGAATATGTAAATCCACGCAAAATTTCATTATTTATATAGGTCACACAGAACTGAACTTTCCATAGTACAGAATTTTTATTTATTTACCTTATTTCATTAGTTCATAGTATACATAGCACTCAAGTCCAGCAATTATTTCAAGAATGAGAGATGCTGGGTGTGGGGAAGTGTGGTAATGAGGTTTTTTGTAATTATAGTTTGTTTTGTTTTTGACCATTTGAAAGGGATAGAGACTTGTGCAGCATCCAAGATCATAGACAGTAAAGTAGAGGAGAGTTCAGAAGTCCCTATTTTAGAAGACACATCATCTTCACCAACAGACATCCAACAACATTTATGGCAGGTTTCCACGGATATTGAAAATACTGAAAGGTATGTGTTCTATTTATTATTCCTAATTTGATCCCATTAAACACTGAGGCATGTGTGGAAGTAGACCTTTGTCTCCACATCCCTTCATGGAACTTCACAAATAGCTTGCTGGAATAAAAATTGCATCTAAATGAGCAGCAATTCTCCTTCTTAATCTTTATTACTGATCACATTGGAAGAACATACTTGAATAAAATTGGAGACTTACAGTGGTCTTTTTTATTATAACTCCATCACTTGTCCATTAGACATTTGCAAAAATTATTCAGTCCAACATTTTGATTTTGATTTTATTTTTATCCTTTTTGTTCAGACGTAGTACTATTTTTGGAATCCTGAAAAGCAGAAGCAGCTTTTATCTAAGCTTAAGCAATGTCTGTTCTATTTGAACAGTTCTGTGCTTCATTTCTACAGGGATATGAGAGAAATGAAAAACCTTTTAAGCAAACTCAGGGAGACTATGCCTTTGCCACTGAAAAATCAAGGTAAGCCTTTCTTTTCTGCGTCTGATAATTGGATAGTTAAGTGATCAGACTTGGTTTCTTCTGGTAATGTTAAACAAACTCCTAATATTCTAAATAGAGAAAAGGTTTGACAATGTAACGTTCCTCTAAATTATTAAAAAATTTTTATAGAAGTGTGGCTTAGCTTCTTAGCCTTTACCCCAGTTGAAATAAAGTTTGCACTCATATACATCCCTTTATTCTTATCTCTTTATTTCGATTCATAATTTCCCTCTATGGTCTCCCTATTGTTGAAATTTAAATTGCATGCCAAGGAAGATTGGAAAATGTTTGTGGATTATTTAAAAACTCAGTGTAAACATGTTAAGATGCAAATAGGATTTGACTGAGAGCTGCAGTGGAAACGACAGTGGAATTTTGTTGTTGTTGCTTTTTTTTTTTTTTTTTTGTAGAAGCAAAGGCATGGAGTAACTATAATATGCAGCACAAATTGAAATTTTGGGGGAACCATGAAGGGAGAGAGGGAAAGTCCTAGGTTGACTGATTTATTGTAAAACCCAAAATGTTGTTTAATTATTATTATTATTATTATTATTATTATTATTATTATTATTTAAATATCTATAAATAAAATTAATAAACCACCCTGAGACCTCCGCCTATATGGCAGTATAAATTCAATAAATAAATGAAAAAAATGAAAAAGAAAAAGGGCAAGGTTTAGGTTAGCAAGGTTAGAAGAAACTGTGGTGTGACTTGAGGGAGCAAGGCAAGCTGAAGGGCAAGAATATTTCTGTACCTATGGGAGAAGCAGAACCCTCTTGGAATACCGATGCTCTGAACTTCTCCATAGCAAGTTCACGTTTTATATATGGGTAAATAAAGCATGCAAAAATAAAAAAAGAAGTTTAAATTGCATGCTTCTCAAACCTGCTATTTTTCTCTCTCATGTTACTTGGTAAACTTGATGGCACTAAATGAATAATATTGTTAGTGACGTCGCAGTCAGACCTTGCCTGGTACCCATAGATCAGAACATACAACTCTGGTCTTATGTCTCAATTCAAAGTGGTAGTTTTGGTCTCTAAAATCCTAATTGGGCCTGGGTTATCTTAGGGACTGCTTCTCCTGTATAGATGATGGTTGGATTTATTTTCGTTTCATGTATTTGTAAGCTTCTTTGGGTACAAAAGTAAAAGTATGGGGTAGAAATAAATAATTATTAACTAGGTAATTATTAGCAACTTAAGGAATTAAGAGCTGGACAACGCTAAATTATGAAGGGGCATCATGTTCAACTAGCTGTGCCTAGAGGAGTTACTTCTCTACTAAAACATGATAAAAATGATGGAGAATAAATTCAAATATTTCTGTGGAGTTTAAATGGAGGTTGCCAACAAAACTCACATTAAAGTTCAGTATGATAGCCCTCATTGCTATCTGCCACTCAATGATTAGATGTAATCTCCCATTCATCTCACACCTTATAAAATGAATTTAAGCACTGGTTTCAGAATAAATTTGAAGATTTTCCCTCCCTGAACCAATTTCAAATTATACATTTTTCTTCATGGAGGAATACTTGCAGTGAGCTGTTGAAGCTCATGTATTTGCAGTGCTGGCCCAAGCCATTTCAGTGCCAGGGGCAAAACCTCTAAACAGGGTTCCTGTCCTCCGCCATTTAGCAGTGTTTAAGAACATAAGAGCCTGCTGGATCAGGCCAATGACCCATCTAATCTAGCATCCTGTTATTACAGTAGTCAACCAGTTACCTATGGAATGCCCACAAGTAGGACCTAAATGCAATAGGGCTCTCCCTACCTGTGATTCCTAGCAACCGTATTCAGAGACATAACGCCTCCAACCATGGAGCAGGAACACAGCCATCATGGCTAGTAGCCATTGAGAGTCTCATCCTCCGTGAATTTATCATATCCTCTTTTAAAAGCTATTCCAGTTAGTGGCCATCGCTGCCTCTAGTGGAAGCGAATTCCATAGTTTCACCGGGTGTTGCTTAAAAGACGTACAGTCATACCTCGGAAGTCGAACACCAGTGTGGTGTAGTGGTTAAAAGTGGTAGTCTCGTAATCTGGTGAACCAGGTTCGCGTCTCCGCTCCTCCACATGCAGCTGCTGGGTGACCTTGGGCTTGTCACACTTCTTTGAAGTCTCTCAGCCCCACTCACCTCACAGAGTGTTTGTTGGGGAGGAAGGGAAAGGAGAATATTAGCCGCTTTGAGACTCTTTAGGGGAGTGATAAAGCGGAATATCAAATCCAAACTCTTCTTCTTCTTCGGCTCCCGAACGCCGCAAACCCGGAAGTGAGTGTTCTGGTTTGCGAACGTTCTTTGGAACCCGAACATCTGTCATGGCTTCCAATTGGCTGCAGTAGCTTCCGTTCTGCTTCCAAGGTACCACTGTATTTTCTTTTGTCCTGAATCTTCCAATGTTCCGCTTCGTGTGGTGTATCTGAGTTTTATCATTATAAGAGAGGGAGAATTTTTTTTTATTACAGTTCAGCAGAAGGTTCTCCCATGCAGAGCCATTAAAATTCCTGCATAGCTTCCATTCTTTTCAATGAAACTTGTGCAGGAGAACTTCGCAGAGGATTGAGCCTCATGATTTCTATCTCTTTGAATCCCACTCTACCAGTCCTACTGGCAACCAGGATCCATCATTTGAAGCAGCTGCCTCACCTTACCTCATTGTAAAGTAAAGCAGTGGTTGTGGCAACTCAGAAGTTCACATTTACTTGGTATGGTGACCCATCAGTTTATTGCCACATGGACTTTACATCTTTGACAGTTTTTGGTTCCATGCATTTTAACTGCGGGTTTGCCTGTTTTATGACTGTTACTTGAGGCATTCAAGCCAAAATTTACATAACCCCCCTATTAGTATGGAATTTGATGAAAGATGCCATGTGCTGGTGCATTAGAGGCGAGCTGTAATAGGCACTCAAAACAACTTCCAGTATAAATGTCTCACCAGATCTGCCGCAGCTATCAGAGCAGTTCCCAAGTGCTAAGACGTAAGACTCAAGCTTTTCTGATATTTGGTTACAAGTGTCAACATGATGTTATAATAAGCCAACAAATCAACAAGTGGTAATAGGTATTCATCATGAAAAACAATTATCTAGGGTTTCTTTACAAAGTCTCCCCCCCCCCTGCAAATCGTGACCCACAGGTTGCAAAACTCTGAAGTAACACACAGAAAACATGTCCTTCAGAATATATGCTTTGCTGCTGCTCAGCTTAATTCTATCTTTTGTTTTTTTAAATCGCAGATGACAGCAGCCTCCTAAACTTGACTTCAACTCCTTATCCATTAGTGCGAAGACGGAAGCGGAGGTTCTTCGGATTGTGCTGTCTTGTCTCGAGCTAGATGATTCAGTACAGAAATGCACAGATGACCACAGCCAATACAATCTGACCTTTAGCGGGATAAACCTTAATGCTCTAAGTGGTAGTGTGTGTTTTCTACACAACTAATTATTTCTTCCCTCCTTTTCAAGAGTTTTACAATTTGTTGCTGATAAGAACCAAATCAGGAAACCGATTTAACATTATGAAGAATATTTTTAACTTTTTTTAATGGCATACTGCATGCCTGATTTAAACCATTCTATGATTAGATGCAAATATTATAATTATGAAATAAAACATTCAGATTTTTTTATTTCGTGTACAAACCACCACAGCCAATTGTGTACAGTACAATAGTAGGACTGTAGCTCTTGCTAGTATGATGTTAAACTATTTGAACATATTCTATTAAGCAATCCTAATCCATAGAAAACTATTTAGAACAGCAAAATTGTGCTTAAGTTCTAAAAAGCTAAAATAAAAAGAGCCAATATCACAAGAGAACTTGCACAAACTCTCCTATTGCTTTTTATGCTCTCATTCATATTTAGTCTTCCACTCTATATCTCAACTTATACAAGAGCTTCATAATACAATATCTTAATTTCTATTACACAAGCAACATAACATCGATATGTTGATCCTGTAAATATGAGATAGTTATATCTACATATGTACAATGCATAGAAATAGCTAATTTACTTTTTAAACCCCCCACAGATGTATCTATTTCAGCTTTGGGAAGAAAGGATAAAAATTTAAAAGATGGTGTAGGAAACTATAAAATCCACAGATGTAAAGAAAATTATCCTATTTTGTCTCCATTAAAGGTTGAAGCATGGTGTCTGAACATCAATTTAGTGTTACTGCTTTTAGGGCATGCCAGAAGTAGCTCTAACTGTAAAATATTAAACATTTTACATTGTTAATAAATATTTTTTAGTTAAACTAAAACATGTCTTTTGGGTAATAATTGTACGGCTAAATACCATGTGTGGTTGCCTCTACCCATCTTGCCTGCTTTGTTTAGAAGAATTTGAATCATTGGTCTCCTTCACATGTAATACTAAACCATGGCTTACCACTATGGCACAAGTTAGAATGAGTCCGACCAAAGCCTCAGACTTGCAAATTCCATGTTCCCACACAGCTGGGGTAAGGATTTCTGCCATGTTTACTTTCAGTTTTCATAAATCCTGCCCTATTTTTATGTACAAACTGGGGTGTGTTTGTGGTCTAAAATAAACTCTTGTAAGTTTCAAAAGCAGCAAATTCAACCCATGGATTTTGAAGCTGGTTTCTCAGTTTGTTTAAAAAGACCATCTCTGGAGCATGAATAAACCAGGACACATAGAAACTGAAAATAAGTGTGGCAGCAGTCCTTCCCCTTGCCAAGATGGAGGAGATGGGAGTGTTGTAGCTCATGCAGTAAGTAGTGCGAAACCACGTTTCCATGTTATCTGCAAATCCGCACATGGTCTGGCCTGTAGTTGAGATCCCTGCATTGCAGATGGTTGAACTAGATGGCCCTCTGAGACCCTTCCAAGTCTACAATTCTGTGGTTCAGTGACCTGGTTACCTTGCTCTTCCACTTCATCTGTGCAAAACAGTGGAATGAAGGTGCCATTTGCAGCAAGTGTGTGCTTAGAGGTGGACCGCTTAGAGGCTGACCACGGGTCAGCAACATTTTTTGAGGCCGGTCTGGTTCATTCCCCAGCAGACCTCTCGGTGGGCCAGAGCATGCGCGCCCATGCATGTGCTCAAGCTATTTCTGGTGCTCTTCCGAGTCGGAAGAGCACCAGAAATAGTGTGTGCACAGGTGCTTCTCCGTCCCAGAAGTAGCATGACATACACGTACAGGCGCTCTGGGTGAGGAGCACCTGTGCGCATACGCTATTTCCAGCGCTCTTCTGACCTGGAAGTCAGTCCCTGCAGTGAGAAAAAAATGGTGCCACCAAAAAAAAGCACAGAATCCCCACGCTGATCCATGGTACGGCCATGGGCCGGTTCCAGGAAGCTCATGGGCCGGAACCGGCCCATGGGCATTAGGTTGCCGTCCTCTGGCTTAATCCATCTGCCTGCCACTTTCCCTCTGCAGTCTAGGCTGCAGTCCTACTTCTTCATAAATGTAGCAAATATGTCTCTTGAATAATTGCTGAGGAAGATGTTTAAAGGGCAAAAGCAGCATTCAAGGAGGAACGTTCACCAAAGCTTTCTTGCCTTCTACCCTTGTTCCTTGGCTTTGAAGCTGAAATATTGATAGCCAGGTTCCCACACTTGAGCTTGTTTCTGAACACCTAGTTTAAGCTAGTGAAAGGGATACATAATGCCATATTGTATTATTTTATCTGTTTCTTGGAGTTTTAGGCAGCAATCCAATTGCTTAAGGTGGAGCAAAAATAACAGACTAATATATCAAATGCTACCACCAAGTAGCAAAAAAGTGGACTAAAGTGTAAATGATGTCCAAATCTTTACTTCAAATGTTGCTTGCAAATTACTGCACAGACTCTAGGGGAAAAAATAATCTATAAAATACCGGTAATGTTGATTCTTACTACATCATCAAGGCAAATCTATGTACTTCTGAGAGGATTGGATTATTACTCTAGTGATGCCTTCTACACAAAGAGGGAAACTTCCTCCTAATGAACAGCAAAGTGAGTTGTTTATCAACACTCAGCACAACAATGTGTGGAACAGAGCTTGTATATCGTTTAACAGCACAATTTTATGCCTGTTTACTCAGAAATAAGGCCCACTGTACTCAATTGAGCTTGCTTCCCTAGTATTTTTATCTTTCTTATCCATAGTGGATTACAAATGGAAACAAATCTAGATGTATCCTACAGGTACTACTAAAACAAAACAAAACAGATGATTCTGACCAGTCAACTAAAATAAATAGCAACACTGGCACTAAATTAGTCCACCCAAATCCTTGGTAAATAACCAGGTCTTCAGCTTGTGCAAAAAGGTTAAAAGAGTAGGTGTCAGCCATATTTCAGAAGAGAGTGAGTTCCAAAGCTGGGTGCTACCACCAAGTAGCAAAAAAGTGAACTACAGTATGAATGATACCCCAATCTTCACTTCCAATGTTGCTTGCAAATTACTGCACAGTCCCTAGCGGGGGGAAAATGAGAGGGTGCAAGATGCTTCCAGATGACCTTGTCCTTTTTACACTTACTGGCCACCTCATGAGAAGAGAAGACTCCCTGGAAAAGACCCTGGTGTTGGGAAAGATTGAGGGCACAAGGAGAAGGGGATGACAGAGAACAAGATGGTTGGATAGTGTTCTCGAAGCTACTAACATGAGTTTGACCAAACTGTCGGAGGCAGTGGAAGACAGGAATGTCTGGCGTGCTCTGGTCCATGGGGTCACGAAGAGTCGGACACGACTAAACGACTAAAGAAGACGGAGATGAGGGTTATAGCAGCTTGGTTCACAATTACCACTGTTTGAATGTCAGCTTTCCCTCCCATGTCAAAGCAGCTTGGGGGGCGGGGTGTCCATCAGGACTGAGTTAACCCCTTTCTCCCTGCACACTGAAGTCCAGAGCTTACCACCCACACCCTCCGTTTGTTCATACAATGCTGAACAACATGCTTAATATAACGTGCAATTTGGCCCATAGGTAATTTTTATACCGAAAATTTTATACCCCTGTGTATAAGAAAATGGCAGTCCTTTTTGCCTCGAATATTGCAAAAATTACTATACTAGCTGGGGGGGGGGAACATTACTGTACGTCAGTGAATTGAATGCACATTATTATTGTGCAGGCAGCAAATAGAATTGACACATGACAGAAGAATATATTAGTAGAAGGAAATCTAGTTTTTTATGTTGAATGAATGGATCTCAATATGAATTCTGAAGAGAAGAAATGACTCAGAAGGCAGATGGGATGAGAAAGTTCCTGCAATATAAAAGATGAATTTAATTTTAAAATTGTCCTCTCTTTCAAGAAAAATCTCCAAAACAGAATAGTTTTAACTTGTCATTTTTCTGTATTCTGCACCAAAAAAAGGTAATTACACTATAATAGACACAGAGAACACAAGACTTTAACTAAAAATTGGAGTTTTTAAGTACAATATATTTTATTGGAGCATACTAGTTATGTGCTTTTGAGTTGCATGTAGGTTATTCATAAGATACAAATTTTCAGAACAAAAGCAGTATGATAGATTCTTCATAATTTGGGATTTGGCATCCTTTCTCATCTGACTAGAATAAAGGAAATAAAAGGTAAAGATTAAATTGAATTATAACGCAGGATGATTCAAGAAATAATTCTCAATGGCTTTTAAAAGTGCATCTAGTGAAAGAATTGCCAATCCGTGGTGACTGTCCCCTCTGATTGCCTCTCTAGATAGATAGAACAAAATACATTTTATTAACTTTTCCATAGAGTTGGGATAAAAGATATAAAACTAAAATTAAAGCTAATCCTTTTGAATGTGCATGATTTTACCCAGTATTCCCCCAAATCACCAGCAAATTAAAGCTTACAGTGGAAGATCATACAGTAAAAATCACAGATCTGATACTAGCACAAAACCAATGGTTCAAGGCACAGATTCTCATGATTTTTACAAAAGATGATAAAAACATAAGTCACAGAACATATCTGTGGACACAGAAGCAACCTATCATTTGATGGTGCTTTGTGGGAGCTTTCAAGTGGAATGCCACAGGGTTTTGCCCTGAGTCCAGTACTTCCAGTATTTTTATTAATGGTTTTTAAGTTATAGAGTGGAGGAAATCTGTAAAAGAAGTTTGCAGATTGCACAAAATTGGTTTTGATAAACAAACCAGAAGGCAGGAATGACATTCAAAATGGCCTTGATAAAATGGGAAACTGGGTTGAAATGAAATATTAAAATCAACGGGAGGGGTGTGGGGAATAGCAAAGTTCTGTATTGAGGCTGTAAAGAATGCACACAGGTATATAGGTGAAGTGTACTACGTGTGAAGTTTGGCTCCTATGGAAACAGGCACGCGGTGGTTCACCTGTTGAATTTCTGCCGTCTCTTTGTGGACCGCAATACGGAGCACGTGCAGAGAGAGACTGCAATGAGGGATCAGCCCAAACCTCTTCCAACCCGCTCAGGGCGAAGGCGAATCCTCGCCGGCCTTCTTGCCGCCACCGCCATGAGCAACAGCCTCAGGGGTTTGCCCCGGCTTCTTCGCCCTGAGCAGCTCCTCCGTGGAGGCCTCCGCCTGCCCCATGAGACGACCAGATATGCTGCTCTACTGCTGCGGCGAAACGGGCAACCGACCAACCCTGTTCCCTGAGGCGCCTCCGGTAAAGGGGAAGAAGGGAACGCGGAGGAAACGCCGGAGGGGAAAGCAGAGGCCGAAGCGACGTTAACAGGGAGCCCCTGGCGGGGGGAACTGCGAGGGAAAGTGTGGGGTGAGAGGGGTTTAAAAAGGGGGGCTTGGAGAATTCATGGAGGATATGGCTAGCCATGGCCTAATAGCCCCGAGGGCGAGGCTCTGAATGCCCATGGCGGGAAACCGAGGGAGGGGAGGAGGGCTCTTGGGGCCCGGTCGGTCCCGCTTGCGGGTTTTCCTCAGGCATTTAAATGACCCTAGATGGGCCATTGGCCTGATCCAGCGGAGTTGTCTTACGAGAGAGAAGCAGAGATCTCTCTTCCAGTCACCGCCCTTTTTTTGGCCTGGCCTCTTTAGGCCTGGATGGAGCTGGTAATGCCAAGTTTGCAGGTTCAATCCTCGTATGGGACAGCTGTGCCTATTCCTCCACTGCAGGACTAGATGGCCCTCAGGGTCATGGGCATAGCCAGGATTTTTGTTGAAGGGGGCAGAACCAGATTTGTATTGATTTAGATTGATTGGGGGAGGCCTGTCTTGGCTACACCCAGCAGCGGAGCTAGCTGCTCGGGCACCCAGAGTGGCGCACATTCCATGCACCTGGGGGCAAGGCAATCCTCTCAGCAGCAATTGTGCCCAGGGGTTGTGATCCGGCGCGGCGGCGATCCACCCAGGGGTTTTTTTGTCACTCATCCCCCTCCCCCAGGGATGACACCCAGGGCGAACCACCCCCACTGCCGCGTCTTCCTATGCCCCTGGTCCCTCTCATTTGCAATTGCTTCCAATAATAATAATAATAATAATAATAATAATAATAATTTATTTATACCCTGCCCATCTGGCTGGGTTTCTACAGCAACTCTGGGTGGCTTCCAACAAAATATTAAAATACAGTGGTCTGTTAAACATTAAAAGCTTCCTGAAACAGGGCTGCCTTCAGATGTCTTCTAAAAGTCTGGTAGTTGTTCTTCTCTTTGACATCTGGTGGGAGGGCGTTCCACAGGGCGGGTGCCACTACCGAGAAGGCCCTCTGCCTGGTTCCCTGTAACTTGGCTTCTCACAGTGAGGGAACCGCCAGAAGGCCCTTGGCACTGCAGCAAGTTACTGCACATAATTATACAGACCATGAAATACAGTTTAAAGGCATTATAAACAGGTGGTCAAGAAGCAGAGCAGAATCAGATAAAGCAGCTGGCAAGGAAGTGGGGTGAAGTCTTTCACCCTGGTGGGCGAGATTTATTATGCTTTCCAGGAGGGGTGCTCGTGCTTTTGCTCTTCAATTGTATTTATGTTTTATTAGTCGCCTGCTAACCTAGTCCTCTCCTAGCGGCATAGAGTGATTTAGGGAGCAATGCCAACTCTGAACGTTAGTGAGGTGGAATAAATTGGCAGAGCCACCACTTCAGGGTAGAAGACAGTGGTGGAGACACTGAAAATGTCATCTGTTGCTGTGCTTACTCCAGGCTAGTACAGTAAGCCCACAACTTACATGGGGGTTACGTTCAGGGGATAGCGCCTAAATTGTGTATAGTCCTGTGCAAGAGCAGGTAGGATTGGCCAAAGTCTTTTTTCCAGACTTCTAACCTCTTTCCAATGTTTTATTTTATTTTTTGCCAGGCGCAAAAAGCTGAATGTGCACAAGTTAAATGCACATAAGTTGCAAGTGTACTGTATAGCAGAGGCTTGGATTGGGGCCACCACCAGTAACTGGATACACTCCAGAAAATCCTTAGCTTGTCCTGCCCCCTGTATGCACTGTGTGGGGAGAGAGGGGGCATAGCTTCTTCCATCACAGTGTAGTAGTGGTTAATTATAGAGTTAAATATTGTCTCTCATTATTATGGGTTGGCGATAGGACTGTTTAGCTTGCTCATATGGGTATTTTCATTGTGGTTATTTTCATTTTCATTTCCTATCCAATTGTGTTAATAGCCTCTTGTTCTGGGCTTACAAAATGAGTAGCACTGTCTTATGTTAAATACGAAATCAACAATTGGCATGCCTGTGTTATGAGGCAGTTTCTGATGTTTCTATGCAGTGGGGAAACATGTGATGTCTGAAGTGGGAAAAGGGTTTTTTTGTGAACCGCTGAGACGTTTTTACAGGTAAGCAGCATACCAATTCTGTTAAAGAAACTTTATACAATATGAGGATCAATGAGAGTGATGCAAGAAAGGAGGGTTTCACTAGAAGCAGGAAGTAAGTACAGAAAAAATTAAGTCTAGGAAAGACTTAATGAGAAAATTGGTTTTGTAGAAGGACAAAATATAATGACATATGAAATAATTTATGGATTATGTTATTTTCACAAAAACATACTTTGTGAAAATAAACAACTCAAACCAAAATGTTTATTTTATTTAGGATTTAAAATTTTTGGGCTGCCTGGAGACAGAGTAGAATAGAACTGCAATAAATATTATCATATCATATTTGGGTCACATTGTTCCTTTAGGACATTGCTGTTTTGGAAGTGCAGAAACAGCTTATAGACTGCAAATTGAGGAAATGCCCACTATGTGTCATAAGACAGTAGGACACTGGTAGCTAATTTTATTAAATAGAGTATCTAATGGTGTGAAAAAAATAATATTTTATATTGATTCCACAACATTTAATGTTACTGTATAGTCAGTATTTGTGCTTCTTTTTGTCATTTAACATGAATATAAATTATTATTCTTTTGTATTTCAGTATAGGAGCATTGGTTGAACTGGGGATTGCTGCGCTGGTTTGCCTTGCCTTCATCATTAAGGTCTTTGTGTTTTTGTTACTTTTTGCAAAGCCAAGGAGATTAGATACTGGTCTAAAAATGCAACATCTGTAGATTCTTTCTGCTCAAGAATGTAGGCATTGAGCCCTCTTGACGTTACAAATAACTTCTAACAGTTCCGTAATTATAAAGGACACAGAATGTTTAGTTGCAGTGAAAATTAATTATAACTTGCAGAAGTGTATGTGACTGTTTTCTTAAAGACAGAACATTTCACACTGCTTATTTTTACTTGTAGACTTATACAAACACAGAATGCTGTTTTCTCATGTTTAACTCAGAAAGCATTTGTGCTAGACAAGATGGAACAATATTTGTGTGGCCAAACTCTTGTAGCAAAAGCTTTATAGTACTTATATAGCACTTTAGAGCTTTTGTTGCATCTCACATACATTATCCTCCTTACAACAATCCTGCAAAATAGACTGGCATTTATTTGTATCCTACCCTTTCTCCAATGAGCTCCTTCCTCTTTTCACACTAAACCAGTAGGTGAGGTTGACTGTATGTGACTGGCTCAAGGTCATCCACTAAGCTTCATGACCAAGTGTGGATTTGAACCAATTTTCATAGTCTAGCCACTACATCCATATAATGGAAAAGTGCTGAGGATGAACTATAAAAGCACACCTCAGGCCACCTACTTTATTAATGGTTGAGGTACAGTCTGAACCAGAACTTTCTGGCTCATAGCTCACACTACAACTGCTAGAGGCATGAAATGTTAAATAAAAAATACATTCTGCTCCCACAGAAACAATTTCTTTTTCTTGGCCTTCTCCTCACTTTTAGACTCAAGCCATTAATCTTTCTTAGTTGGTAGAAAACACAAAGGCAATAATAATGCATCAAATGGCTTTGGCAGATACAGTGCAGAAAAAGGACATCTTATCCTAGCATATGTCAGAAAACAGACAAAAAGATTAGGAACTAAACAATGCATTTTAAACATGTCAAAATCAAATATATTAGTTAAGCCAAGATTAGGCCCAGTATAATTTTCTAAGCTTTCAGTACAGCGTCTTCTTTCACTGGCTTCAAATATATCATACACGTTCACTACTATTGAAGCAGAATCGATATCTTAAATGCACTGTTAAATCCTAGTTCAGCCCTCCAAGAACAAAGCAGCCTTCCCCTGGGCCTCCCCTTCCTCATCTAACTGTGGTTTGTGATGTTTTCAGAATCCAGATTAACTGCAGTCAGTCTTAAATCTGGCTGCATATGGAACATACAATTAAAGCTCATTCAAAGCACATTATTTTTCCCAAAGCATCCTGGGAACAGTAGTTTTTTTAGGCTGCTTGAAGCAGTAGCTCTTCAAGCAATAAGAGCATCCAGGCTTCTTTGTAGGAAATAATGTGCTTAAAATGTATGGTGTCTATGCAGCCCATGATTAATGGAAACTGTTGTGTATTGATTCAATACATGATGTCCAATCAGAGAACATTTTAGGATTTGGGCTTCTGCCATTGGCTCTTGAACTCTGAGTCGTGATTTGCAGCTTGGAAGTTTAGACAGCCAGTCACGTTGGGTGTGGGAGTGGTCCAGGCTTTCAGTTGCTTTGCCCCTGTTTCCCAGTTATGTAGTTCAATAAAGGTTCTTGTTGTTATCACTACGTCTTGCCCACCTACACTTCACAAACAAGTCAACTAAACCAAAGCTGTGGAGCTATCTTGTTTTCACTAAGTACAGTAAAGGGTTCACACAAAGCACTTAAAACTAAAAGTGCAGGGGAAGTATGAAAGCCAAACACAGCCATTATCACTTTAATGCAAATAATATAAATCAAATATGTGAACACTTCGAGTCCAAAATCCTGTTAAAGCTTGAAACTATTCTCATCCTTGTGTTTTATTTCCTGCTAAAATTACTTTTTTTGCTAAGTGTCCCCCCCATCCCCTGCCTCAAAAAAGTATTAATTTCCTCTCCATATTTTGTTCCAATTAATGCCATCAAGGAAAAAAACCCAACTGCTCAAATGTAGCTTGGAATTCAGCTGAACAAAAATATATTTAACCTGAAGAATTAATTCAGGAAAGGTTTCAGGGATCCAAGCAAGCCAATCTTGTTAAGATGTAACAACCAAATGACTTTTATAAGTAGCATAATCATTTGTAATGACTAAAACATTGTGGAATTTATTTTCCAGAGAGGTAGATGTTTATCTGCTACTGTAACTAAAACAAGAAAACATTGTAGTACCTTAAATATATTGTGCTATAAGCCTCCACAGATTAGAATCTCCAAGCAATGCCATAAAATTTTTCATTATAGTATGTGTGTTATTGATTGTATATTCATATGTACTGTATTTATAACTTGGCCATAGTAGCTGGATTTTATTTTTTATCACCCATTCACTACTATTGAAGCACAATCAGTTTATGTATAAAACCTCTCCCAGTAGCAATTTACATGGTTGAATTAATTGGCAATATGGACTACCACCATTATTCAATTCTGTAGAAGTAAACTGTTGAATATATTAATCTAAGGCAATCCTGCTTATGCTGACCTGGCAGAAATTCCTACTGAAATTATGGGGATTTAGTTCACAGTAAACACGCATAAGATGGTAATGCACAATACTTAGTCTTAAACAGAGCTACAAGTTGACCTCAGCTTAATAAAAAAGTCAAGGTTTTAGTTGATTTATCAGTGGGGCAAATTTTAATCACCAAGGCTGAAATTGAAGGGACCCTGGTTTATTTTTTGAAGGCATTTTGGCTGTTGTGCATTCCTATAATTGAACATGGAGGAGGGAATCAAAATTTAAAGATGGTTTTTCTGTCTAACAGTGTTTCACCTTTTTTATTATTAAACTGTAAATATTCTTCCCACTTCCTCAATTTCCTTTATGGAAATTTAACACTAATTTTTTTAAAACCTAATATATTAAAACTAAGGACAACTGTAGTTTTGATAGAGAATACATGTGCAGTACTATGCTAAATGTGGAAATAAATGATACTCAGTTCAAATGAACTTACTTTCTAGTAAGTATGTTTAGGCTTTCAGCCCCAACCTTTCTGCCTTCAGCAAATACTTTTTTGTTCAAATAGAGTAGACATTTGTCCACTAACTGGCTGTTGTTGGTCTTCTAAGGGAAGGTGGTACAGTATTCTCTTTTTTTGCTGTTAAATGTTTTTCCATGTTTTTCCGTTATGTTTTCAATGGGGCTACTTATTTTTTAAAATATATATATACAGTGGTACCTCTGGATGTGAACGGGATCCATTCCGGAGCCCAATTCGCATCCTGAAGAGAACGCAACCCATGTCTGCACATGCGCTGGTCGCAATTTGCTGCTTCTGCGCATGACATCATTTTGAGCATCTGCGCATGCACATTCCGTTACTTCCGGGTCACTGTGGAGCGCAACCCGAAAACGCTGAACCTGAAGCAACTTTAACCCGAGGTATGACTGTATTTATATTTATGATGTGGCTTAGTTGTATCTGATTTAATTTATGATGTGAGCCACCTTGGGTCCTACAATGGGAGATAGGTGGGATATAAAATATATGGATAGATCCATTGGCTAGAGAGCATGGTGCTGACAATACCCAAGGTTGCAGGTTCAATCCCCGTAAAGGACAGCTGTATATTCCTTAAGGTCCCTTCCAATTCTATGATTCTATGAGAAAAAAGGACAATGATCAAGCAGTGTTACCCAGAGAAAGTATAGAGATTTTCCACATTGGCTGGGCAACTGTTTGAAAGTTGCTTGAGAGGTTTTGTTTCAGCCTTTGTTTGACTGACATGCAAGACAATATCATGCTGATGAAGCGCCTTTGTAGAGAATGAGTTAACAGTTCAGTAGCCCATAAATTTTGCTTACATTTGCACTTAATACAAATGCATCCTGCTGGAAACTTACTCTGAAATATGATTTGGCACCTGCCTTCTATCTACACTTAAATTAACGCCATCACCAGATTCCTTGTCAACAGTTTGACAACTAAATTGTTTTTCAGTTGCTCCCTAAAGCATTAAAAATGTTAAGTTTTGTGTTTGTTTATGGGCATGATCCTGACAAAGTTCAGCATTTTCACTTTCAGTCTTTTACATCTTCCTGTTGACATCAGTGGGACTTAATATTGCTAACTTGACCATGTTTTCTGCTTTTATATAACAGGTCATATTATTATACCCTTGAATCCTTTTATTGATCTAAGAGTATATGTCACCACCACTACCCCTAAAGTTCTTAGAAAGTTTTAATTTGTTGGGCATCTTATATTGGGCCGACTCTCTAGGACTTCAGTGTACACCAGACATTAAAGTTGTGCATTGGGTTGGAACAGCATCCTGTTTTGAGCTGAACTAAATTAGTGGGGGTGGGGGGAGAGACATCACCTTGCCGACAAAGGTCCTTATAGTTAAAGCTATGGTTTTCCCAGTAGTGATGTATGGAAGTGAGAGCTGGAACATAAAGGCGGCTGATCGCCGAAGAATTGATGCTTTTGAATTATGGTGCTGGAGGAGACTCTTGAGAGTCCCATGGACTGCAAGAAGATCAAACCTATCCATTCTTAAGGAAATCAGCCCTGAGTGCTCACTGGAAGGACAGATCCTGAAGCTGAAGCTCCAGTACTTTGGCCACCACATGAGAAGAGAAGACTCCCTGGAAAAGACCCTGATGTTGGGAAAAATTGAGGGCAGAAGGAGAAGGGGATGACAGAGGACGAGATGGTTGGACAGTGTTCTCAAAACTACTAACATGAGTTTGACCAAACTGTGGGAGGCAGTGGAAGACAGAAATGTCTGGCGTGCTCTGGTCCATGGGGTTACTAAGAGTTGGACACGACTAAACGACAACAAAAATTAGAAAAATGGTGAAATACTTCTTCCTTCATGTGTATGCCTTGTAATTTATTCAGTGGAACCTGACTCAGGCTTGTATTGGATTCAGATGTAATCATGCAGAGAGTAGGCCCACTGAAATCCATGGGGCTTGTTAGCCATGACTAATGCAAGTTCTATAAATTTAAACAGGTCTACTCTATGAATGACTAAGTGTGGCTCTGACTCCTATTTCCTTATCATAGAATCACTATTGGCTTACTGTACCATTCATGTTTAATGCCATATTAGTAATCACAGAAGCTGCTTCCTTTAATGACAAGCAAGTACTTATGTAGCACTTTTCACCAGAATACAGCAGCTTCTGTATTCCAGACCAAAGTTCTGTTTGCTGGTTAATAAATACATTAATAAGTGCACTCATGACTGAGTAAAGATGTAACCGAGAGAAAGCCTTCCTGATCAAATTAGCTTTGAACTTGTTGTATTGTGTTTTTACTGCAACAAGTGCTGCAGAGTATTCATTTAAATACAGTTATCATTAATGACCCACAAGCTACTTTTTCATGTATACTATTGATTTGCTGCAATAGCAGCAAATGCTGCTGCATGTTGCTGCAACATGGAGAAAGACAAATCAGCCTCACAGAATCATATGATAGCTTTTATCCCAGTTCAGATGCATTAGGGTGGGGTAGCCAATGTGGTGCCCCCCTGCTCCAGATGTTATTGGACTAACTCCCAGCAGCCCAAACCAGTGGTCAGGGATGATGGAGCTGTAATCCAACATCTGGAGGGCACCACATTCCCTACCCCTGCATTAGAAAAACAAACACTGGTACAGTGGTGCCTCGCAAGACGAAATTAATCTGTTCCGCGAGTCTCGTCGTCTTGCGGTTTTTTCGTCTTGCGAAGCACGGCTATTAGTGGCTTAGCGGCTATTAACGGCTTAGCGGCTTTAAGAAAAAGGAAACAAACTCGCAAGAACTCGCAAGACATTTCGTCTTGCGAAGCAAGCCCATAGGAAATTCGTCTTGCGGAACGACTCAAAAAACGGAAAACTCTTTCGTCTAGCGAGTTTTTCGTCTTGCGAGGCATTCGTCTTGCGGGGCACCACTGTATGTACTTAAAAGCATACCTTCTAATAGGAATGGAGAGCATGGCTTTTAAATTTTATCTTATGTAATTCCATTCATGATTCCTGTATTACTACACAAACATAGGTCTTGATCCAAAGATGCACCCACAGTTTATATGCACACTTGAGCTCTCCTAAACCACAGGGTGCAATGCACAAGAGGCTTTGACAAAAGAATCCTCTGTTTATGCTGATTCTTTTAGGAGCATTTCTACATTATGTGGAGAGGGTTGCAGTTCAGGAATGACAATCCTATATTGCTAATGACTTGTGGCTAATTTGAAATGTTTATAACATTCATAAGAATGCTTTAATTTCCTTACAAGTTCTTACAGAAGTTTGAGGGCATTGGTGAATGTTACAAAACTTTCAAAACTAATAACCATAATGTCCCACACATCAACTCAAATATTTTCAGTTGATTGTAAAGACATTGAACAATAAGGAAGTAAAACTAGTTCCTTATCCAATATGATGTTCAGATAAAACAGTTGTAATGCTTAGGGGGAAATAAATCTCTCTGAATTTCCAAAAAAACAAACAACAACAAAAACTTTAATGTAAGGTGAAATATTTATAAATAACAGGCTTTTTCAATAAAAATATACATATTTTAACTGGGCATCATTATACTCCTAATCAGGATTGAACTACATCCCTAGGTTTGGTCTCAGTCACTGCTGGAAGAGTCTGAGCTATCAGAAGATGAAGAATCTTTCTCCTTTTTTCTCTTCTTTTTCCCCTTTTTGTGATGTTTTCTTTTCTTGGATTTACTCTTTTTCTCCTTCTTTTCCTTTTTGTGGGATTTCTGCTTTTTCGATTTAGGCTCATCCTCATCTGTGGCACTTGAGGAACAAGACCTTTAAACACAAGAACATTGATTTGTTCAGTTATACACCAATGCCCTATAGTGAAATATTGGAATCTGAGAGTTCTTTAACTAAAAAGAATTAACTTGGCTAAATACACCAAAGAGGGACTTTTCTCCTAAGCTCTACTGTTCTAAACACCGGATGACCCAGAACACTAGGGCTGGGCAATATTGGGTTCTCAACATTACAATGTATCACCAGCCAAACATCACAGTTTGGCAATAAACCGTGATGTTGAAAGAAGCTGCGTTGGCCCCAGCCGGCGAGATGCCAGATGAAACTACTGCAACTCTCATTCTGGGAGCTGAGGCGCTTTCACCCCAGAGCCTTGGGGGCTGTGGCCAATACAGCTGGCCCCAGCCTGCTGCTCAGCTGGGGGGTGGAAAGGCTCCTGCATCCAGTTGAGTGAGCCCCAATGTCCCTGCTAGTTAGCGGGATGTCGGGGTGCCTTTGTGAGCCTCCCTTCACAGGAGCAGGGGGTCGGCAAGCTACCTCGCCCCCCACTCCCAGAAGACAGACCAGGAGGTGGTAGCCAAGCGCACAGAGCCTGTCAGGCTCTGTGCTTTTGATCTCTTTCGTTGTGGGATGGTCGTTCACCCTAGGAGGAAAGACGCAGCCACCCTCCCAACAAAGTCCACAAGCTGCCTTGTGGAGCGGGGCTGCTTGAGGCTGCTGGTGAGTGCTGGGCCCGGCAAAAGCATCAGAGAACTGCACCATCTAGCTGCCTTGGACCAGGAAGGTTTGCTCCATCTTTCCTCTGGAAAGATGCAGCCAGGCAGTAGCCAAGCTAAGCTCTCTCCACCCAGAGCCCACACCTGGCTGCTGGCTTGCCCAAGCCGGAGGTGAATTGGGGGCTCCTTTAAACTTCTCCCTTGAGGGACGTGCAGCAGAGGACAATGGCAGTTTCACTCAGTGGTATATCGCTGATGAAACTGCCACTGCTCCCGAGTCCCTCTGCCTCCATCTCGCGACTGCAGCTTGTTTTTTCCTGGAGGCAGTGGGACTCAGGAATGGCAGCGGTTTCACCAGCTGAGTGAAGCTGTCTTTGCGGTCTGCCTCTCATACTGGTCCTAGGCAATATATTGATATGTCTGTGCTGTCTGTGAGAGGAAACCTGTGGGAAAACCTTGGGAGAGCATAAAAGGTTTTTTCTCCTCCAATGACCAGTGAAAACCAGTGAGAAAAGGGCATGTACTGCATGAAGCAAGATTTCAATGAGCAAAGGAATGGAAGGTGCCTCTTCTGGTGGATCTGCCTGGCATAGCATTCCACAACCATCAGCCATTAGAAGCAGGTCCAGCGTCACCATCCCAGCTGATCTCTGGAACATCCGAATGGCTCAGGACATTGACACAATAACCACAAGTGCTCTCTCGCACTTTGCAGAACCTGTTTGACTCCCTGGTATGCTTTAGGCGAGGAAACAAACTGGAAGACAGCTCAAACACGAGTGGAGGAAAACTCCAGTAGAATGCAATTGAACACTGATAGGGCTCATCATCATACCTAACTAGTGGCAGTGAAGGCAGCAAAGAAGGCCTACTTTGCTGCCTCAAATGCATCCTCACTCCACCCAATACATGCTTTTACTTGCAGAGATTCGTGCAGCATTTAGTAGCAACAGCAATTCATCTTTGAAAAGAAATAAAATTTCTGTTTCTATTATAAAAAACTTTTTGAACATACAAAATCTTGGATTAGAAAAAAAAAGCCCAAATGGTTTTCCACCCATCTTTAAATGGTGTCATTACATGCAGAGATTCAGATTTGAAGACAATCTGAGCACAATATGTTTCAAGCTTCTCCCTGTTATGCAGAGGCAAAGCTTTCAAAATTATACCTTTTCCTTGCTTTCTTTAATTTTGATTTTTCTTTGCCTTTCTTTTTGGTCTTTTTCTTTTCTTCTTCCGCAGAAGTTCCTGTGAGTTAACAAAGTAAGATGTTACCCCTCCAAAAAGGAGATAATACATTAATTGTTATAACCCTTTAAGAGGTAAGAACACGAGAACAGTGCTGGATCAGGCCAATGGCCCATCTAGTCCAGCAGCCTGTTCTCACAGTGGTCAGCCAGGAAACCCGCAAACAAGAAACAAGCACAAAGCACACTCTCCTCCTGTGGTTTCTAGCAACCGGTGTTCAGAAGCATTGCTGCCTCCAGCTGTGGAGGAAGAACATAGGTATTGTTGCTAGTACTCACTGAACACCTTATTATCCATGAACACGTCCACTTATGAAAGCAAAGATAATCCAGGCAAAGCTTTCAGGATAATTAAAACTAACAAATCCATGTACAATCAGGAATGGGTGATAAAACAGTAAGTAATCTTAAAACGCAATAAATGGCCGTTGCAAATTAAGCAGTGAGATTAACAATTACTAAAACCTCGAGTTAAATAACTCTAACCTGAAGTCACAATGCAAAGAAGGTTGTCACTAGGAGAATCTTAGAGGCAAGGGCATTCCAAAAACGGGGCACCACTACAGAGAAGGTCCTCTCTTGCATCACCAAGGATGGAGCTCTAAGGGGAGCCTTCCCAGAAGATCTCAAAACGTTATTTACACCTAGAACTGGGCAGCTTTTAGTTCTGTGTGACTGTAAAATTTAAAAAGGGTCATTCTTTTGCTTGGTTGCTATTCTAGTAACACATAAGCAACCAGATATTTAGGTAGGGTGGAAGACTGTTCTAAGAGAAGGAAGACAGGAGATATAGATATATTACACAAGGACACACTGTTTTTTAAAAAGCACCTTACCCTTTTTTTCTGGAATGGCCTGCAGCTTTCCCAGCTCCTCTTCTTCGCTGTCCTCGCTGCTTGTGCTGCTGACATCTAAAACTATGTCTCTTTTAGGGTCCACCCGAAGAAAGTTTCGGCATTCAAATGTCAGGTGACCAGCTGCATATAATTAAGCAATTGGGGGGGGGGAGCCAACAAAATAATTAGCAAGAGGTTGCTGGGATTGTATTATATTCTTCCTGCCACTATGTGTAACAAACATTTTATTCTTAAAAAGCAATGCGAATGATAATGTTGTTCCAGTGACTTTTGTCAGAAACATAGCCTGGCTAAGGTCCCAACCCATCAACATTCTAGGCTGGGGGGACATATTGCTTGGTCAGCCATATTTTACTAGGATTCTTGCCGCGCTATGCAATGTCTGTTTGCACCATTTACTGATCCAGTTTCTCAGCTTTCATTTAAAAGGAAAAGCAAGGGTTGTATCCAACAGAATGACCTCTGCAGGCTTAATGGAACTCTCCCCGCACTTGCTGGCAGCACCCAATTTTTCCAATACAAATGTAAATGCTATTATACCAATACTGGTGGGATGAAGGGTGGTTCTGTGGCTGAAAGTGCATGGGTTGTATAAATCCTGCATCGTAGCCCAATGCTGTTATACCCATATTGCTGAGAGGGGCTAAGAATTGTGTAGTGGTAGCCCGCTGTTATTATCCAACCTACTGGCATGTTGGATTTTGGGGGGGGGGGGTGTTTGCGCAGGGGTTTGGAAAATATATCTGGGATGTGTGTGGAGTTGACTGTTGCAGCTGTGCCTGGGGGAGGAATGATTAATGCCTTAATGGGGTCAGGAGAAGAGAAATGGGGGCTTTTGTGGGTGGGTGGATTTTAATTGCAAAAACTCCCAAAAGGAAAGGGCTAATCACTCCTCCTTCCTTAGTGCTACTTCTGCAAAACTATGCAGCTCTGGGCCGCATTTCCACAAACAAACCTAAAACAACTTTGTAGTATGAGAGTTAAAATTATTAACAATAACTCTGTTTTAAAATGCTACAGTAGAAGTCTGATCAGCAGTGAACAAAATGCTTTGCATGCTTAAAATATTTCCCCCTCTCTTGCATTAGCACTATCAAATCCCCCAGTCTATGGATTTTCTCCCACCCTGTGTGGGCTTTCAACAGTCACGAAATGTGACTCTAAGCAGTGAAGTGTGTATGCATGCAATGCATGTTATAATGTGCACATAAAGATAGCATTCCACCACTCGGTTCTAAAAATTTCATGAGGAAAGCCTCTGGGCATAGTCATCTTTGTGTGTTATGTATGTGCATGAATTCATCTTTTTGGGCATAGCCCCCTCAGGTGAACTTACAATGTAAAACAAAACCAAAAACCAAACCCATAATACATCCAGCAGTAACAAATCATTTAAGAGCATAGGGCAGTTGTAGTTCCAGGCAGGATCTCACTATTACTGACAAATACTTGCAATGCTTGGTAAGAGATCCCATTTCTGAGGGAAAATGGGTTTCTTTCATGAAATGGATCTTTTCATAAGACCGTTTTTCTGGCAGGCAGGCTGATGATGGGTAACACTGGTTGAAGAAGAGTTGTTTAACAAAAAGATACACAAGTACAGCTTTAAGCACACAAACCGTGGAAAAAATATCACCCTAATATGAATCTGAGACATTTTAACAGCCTCTGCCCTCTGCTATTTCAATATTACTTTCAGCAATTAGTGTAACAATTCACTGTGTGTGTGTGTGTGTGTGTGTGTGTGTGCGTGCTCTCGCACGCACGCACGCACGCACGCCTTCCTTCTGTTCACAGTTCTCAGGGTCCGAATCAGTGTCTACTCAGTTACTATACACTGATAATGGCATTGCCTGAGTACAACAAACTAGTGATGTTTGTGGTAAATATTAGGAAATAATTATATCTTCATTTTTGTAGATACTTACGATAGCCACATTTCTTGCACCCTGCTCTGATGTTATCTTTATTTCCACCTGGAAAGGCAAAATATATTTCATATTAGTTTGAGATAGATAAATGTGGAATATAAAGGGTAATAGTTGATCTGCCATACACATCAGTATTGACAATGTTCTCATATACCGTATTTTTCGCCCCATAGGACACACCGGCCTATAGGACGCACCTAGTTTTTTTTGGGGGGGGGAATAAAGAAAAAAAATTATTCCCCCCCCCCGGCGCAGGGCTGGGGCGGGGGACGCCCGAGCTTCCCCCAACCCCAGCCCCCAGAACAGGCAGCTCTCCGCAAGCCTTGGAAGACCGGCGCGACTTCCCACCGGGCTCCCACACTTGCGGATATCTGCTTGAAGCCCAAACCAGGTCGGGGAACAGCGGGATGGCGGCGCTCCGCCTCCCCACTGTTCCCCGAGCTTGTGGAGCTGGCGGCGGGGAGAAACGCGCTTCTCCCCGCCGCCAGCCTTCAGACCAGGTCGGGGAACAGCGGGAAGGCGCGCTGTGCCTCCCCGCTGTCCCCGGAGGTTGTGGGGCTCCAAACCGCCAGCCGCCAGCCTCCAAACCAGGTCGGGGGACAGCAGGATGGCGGCATTCCGCCTCCCCGCTGTCCCCCGAGCTTGTGGGGTTCCAAACCAAGTCCAAACCCTCCAAACCAGGTCGGGGAACCGAAGCCCGGGGCGCGCTGTGCAGCGCGCCCCATGCTTCGGGCTGCAGGCTGCTGCCCGCAAGCCTTGCGGATAGCTTCCTGAAGCCTGGAGATCGAGAGGGGTCGGTGCGCACCGACCCCTCTTGCTCTCCAGGCTTCAGCGAAAGCCTGCATTCGCCCCATAGGACGCACACACATTTCCCCTTCATTTTTGGATGGGAAAAAGTGCGTCCTATAGGGCGAAAAATACAGTGCAGAATATCAATAATTGTATCAGCCACATTTGTTGTTTAGTCGTGTCCGACTCTTTGTGACCCCATGGACCAGAGCACGCCAGCCACATACTATTACCAAAATATATGTTACGCTGCATAACTTACCCCTACAGCCAGAGAAGTTCCCAAAGTGTGATAAAGGCATTATGATAGCTGACATGCCTTTTGCATCAATCCCTGCCATTCCAGTTTTGCAAGGCTGGATGCTTGGCCAAATTAAGATGCCATTTCCCCCTTATGAAGAAGAGTTTGGATTTGATGTCCCGCTTTATCACTACCCCAAGGAGTCTCAAAGCGGCTAACAATCTCCTTTCCCTTCCTCCCCACAACAAACACTCTGTGAGGTGAGTGGGGCTGAGAGACTTCAGAGAAGTGTGACTAGCCCAAGGTCACCCAGCAGCTGCATGTGGAGGAGCGGGGAAGCGAACCCAGTTCACCAAATTATGAGTCTACTGCTCTTAACCACTACACCACAGTGACTCTCTTACAAGCTATCAGTGCTACCTTCAGTGGGCCAAATATGATGTTTACATACATCATTTCCCGGCATAGATGGACTAATGGCAGCCATATATGAGGCTGGTGAACCTGCTTGACCATGAACTGCCATAAGATTCAAGGAAACCTGAGTTAAAGTTAACAGCTAAGCCTCTGTCTACCCCAGCCTGAAATTGCTGTTCCTTAGGTTGCAAATGCTATATTAGCACACATTCAACAAGCTTTTTTATGCATGTAGATTAAGATTATTCTAATGGGGGGGGGGATTGCTTGGAATATATCAGGATTTCATATTCCTTTTTGTTTTCACTTTTAAAGATTAGTAATATTGTGGAGGTTAACCAGAGGGCAGCAGCTCAAAAGAATATAATGGTGAACATAAGCTAATTAACATACAAACTAAGCAACACTCTAGTTTGCATGAAAAAGCTCCGCTGAATGAATTCATTTCCATAGAAACTGCAGGGGCCAAAATAAAATTAACAGAATTGTACTGATGGTGGTAGGTACATAAATAGCCCATTACTTAAAAGATAATTCAATTCAAAACTCTCCCCATGTTTATATCTAATGAGCTGATTAAGGTTTTGCAGATCATTTTGAATAACCATTGCAATAGCAAAACAAAACATCTACTGGGATATTTATTTATTTTATTTTTAAAAATCTAATTACTGTACAAACTAGATTCTGAGGTTTAGCAACTCCACTCAGCTTATCCATACTATTCAATTATTACTGCATGCAACAGAAAAGGTAGATTTCACCTTGGAAATATGATTAATAATCTTTATACAGTAAATGGATTTCTACCTGGGATAAAAATGGATCAAATGTCCATTATCTCTAATTATCCTATTATATCACTTATAAGAAAAAACAGAAGATCTTATTCTCTTGGAAGGAGAAGGCATTGCATAGGATTTGTACTGTAAGCTGCTTCGTGGAGGATTTCCTCCAAAGCAGGCTATGAATCCCGCAAATAACTAAATAAATACAGAAAATACAGGGGTAGCCTATAGCAACCTCCAGGTGTTACTGAACTCTAGCTTGCATCATCTCTGGTCACTGGCTATGCTGATCAGAGTTGGAGTTCAACAACATCTAGAGGCTCCATGTTGGTCCCTTGTGAGATAATATTTATAGTGGTTGTTGAACTTGTTTATATCAACTTAAGCCAAACTGTAGGATATTAATATGAACTTCTAACTTGGGACAACAGTTTGTTACATCATACTCCACGCTCAAAGAAGATTGCTTTGTTGTTATATTATACACTTTTGCTTAGTTTAGGATGTGCAACATTTCTGAAGGAAAGAAACTAAAACAGTGGAAATGTCAAAACAAATGTACTATCAAATCCTGGCATAAATATGGGACTTTCTCATCATTCACAATTGTCATGCCCATAATAATTTCTAAGGAATAAGATAAACAGAACTTTTCAAACTTGGTATGTAATTCTGGCTTAGGGACCATTCAGCTTTACTTGCTATATCCCACAAAGTTTTGACATAACAATTATTTGTGTTGTATTTTTACACAGCATTGTAACATGAACTGTATTTTGGGCTTGTAAACTTGGTTTTTCTTCTTCTCTGTTTTGCTGTTTATATTTTTAGTGGGGAGATATCAATAAATAGTCTAAACCAAGTGTGAGGAACCTGTGGACCTCCAGTTGTTGTTTGACTACAACTCCCATCATCCCTGAAGGCACTAGTTCTTACTTCTGGTTAAAAAAAAAAAGAGATTTTCCATCTCAACTATAAATTCAAGGAAAGGGGAATAAATTTTCATCCTTTCCTAAAGGAAGTTCTATAATCAAATATGTTTTTTTAAATCTATTTTTCACATAGCCTTTGGAAAGCATTACTGATTTCAGAATCTGCACAAGTTTATAAGAAGCAAGGATTTCTGCAGCCCCCTTTTTAAAACCTTGCACAGTTCTAAAATCCATTATGTCACTGTTTATTCAAGTACTCCACCCACTTAATAAGAAGAAACTAATTATATTATGCTTTGATAATATGCTATTATCAAAATCATCATTATATTGTTATGGGGCCTTTTTGGTAAACAGTGCCACCACAGGGAGAAACATGCAACCCATTAGCACTTCCGACCAGAAGTGGATTGACATGCTGTCCGCACTTGGGTTCCGGACAATTGTGGTACAAATTTGATGCAGCAGCTGCAGACCTGCTTATTTAAAACTGGGTCTGCCCCCATCACATATAAATATGAAGCCCAATGTTTAAAGCAAAAAGGCATGTGAGTAGTTCTAAAGACTTCTCTGTCCACAGGTGCCTTCCCATCTGCTTCTTCCTTGATGTCACTCCCCAACCCCTCCTGATTGGACCCTAACACCAAAAGCAAGCCCAGCTTGGAGAAAAGCCAGGGGGAGGGGGGCAGAGACAAGAACCAATGGGTCAATAATAGCAGACATATTCCAACAACCATTAACCCAAGCATGACCCCTCTTGCTAACTTTCTTATCTACATGCACCTGAATGCTCAAAGTAAATAAGTGCAGGTGGTAGTAATATTTATTCTTCCTTGTCTAAGTCAGGGGAGTGCCAAAGAGTGATTTCTCAGTTATGTGTGGGTCAAATAAAGGAAAAAAAATATTTGCAGAAGTTTCCCTCAAAGGGCTTCAGTAAAAACTTTTGCTTTTTCCTCATATCAATTCCTAGAAAGTTACTAGGACTGAATGTATTTGCTGACAGCTCAAAAATCATTTGAAGGCAGTTTCTTCTGCATGTGTGTTCTTAAAATCAACTCTCAACTAATCCAAGGTGTCACCTGTCCCCTCTCCTGTCGACCAGGTGCTGGAAACCGCAGCAGGGCTAAGTGCTCTTGAGCTCAGGTCCTGCTTGTGGCTTTTCCATAGGCACCTGGCAGGCCACTGTGAGAACAGGATGCTGGCCACTAGCTTGATCCAGCAGGACACAGGACACTTGATGTTTCCTGGACACAGTAGCATCAGAGAAGTTCAGCTAGTCTAGGAGCAGGCATTTGCCTCTTTCCTCTCATAGGGCACAACTTTACATGGCCAGAGTGATCCAGCAGGAGGGGCCTGCTGTATACAGCAATAGGAAGTTGCCTTATCCCAAGTCAGTTTATTTCTCCATCTTGCCTGGTATTGTGTACTCTGACTGGCAAAGGCTCTCCTGAGTCTCCATCTTACAATTGTAGGAATCCACCCCTCCCAACTCTAATGAAATTATTATCTTTTAAGTCATATTTTCTCTCCCCTTTATTAAAAACGAATCACAAATTCAGTAGAAAAGGGGAGGCATGCAGGAACAGGGAAGTAGTGGGAGAGACATTTTACAGTTTATCATGATATGAACACTGTCACCTAGGGGTTTTTTTACAATAACAGCAGCAGAACACTGCTCGTACCTCTTTTAACACTTGGAGATCAGATTAGACTTTTTGGTGAACAACGGGCACTGTGAAACTACACATTAAAAAACTATACAGATACCGTAATCCAATTCCTATTATTAATTTCTTTTAGCTAAACCCGGTAAATTTACACAACTGAAACCTTCCATCTGAAGTTCTTGCGTGTGTAAAGAATGCAAAGCAAAACAAGACTGTTCAGTTTGAAGTTTGAGAAGTTCCGCATTTTAGCACACATTCCCTCCCCGACAGCACAACTCCCACAAGCTCCACTGAGTTCGGCAGGATTTAATCCCCAAACTGCAATCCCGACCACTTACTTCAGAGCAAATCCCACTGAATTCAGTAGGGTCTACTTCTGAGTGGGCATACACAGGACTGCAGCTGCTCTTCGGGACTCCCTCCCACTCGAGAGCACGTTGGGCTCTTCCCCTCGTCCTCGGTTTGAGCGACTTCAGATGCAGCAGCGGTGACTTTCCACACGGCCACGATCTCGCGCGTGGCCCTTCCGCGCCCCACCCCGTTTGGACCGCTCACCTGGCAACGCCATGCAGCCCCCAACCGAGACGCCACGATGCCCCGCTCTTGGCCGGACGAGGTAGCAATGGCAGCGTTTCCCCGCCGGAAAACTTTGACCCGAGCACGAGCGGCGCGTACCATCAGGCAGAGAAGGAGGGGGGAGGAAGGAGAAAGAGGGGCGGTATTGCCAGGGAGACAAGTGAAGGAACTGCAGATAGGGAATCCATTTCTGATTCCCTGAGGAAAAGCTTGAAGGTTGACAGGAGAGGCCCTTCGCTCATCCTTGGACGAAGGTTTCTCAGGCCACGCAACCAGAACAGAAACCCTGCAGTAGTGCGATAGTCCCCTTCCTATGAGCCACTCCTAGCCAAAGGAGGCGGGCTGCCTAGTTGATTGGCAGCGCTTCTGGCCCTTGTCACTCGGAATGAAAGTAGCCCAGTAGCTAAAGAGGGGAAAAAAACCACGTAAAGGACTTTTCTTTATTCCCACGCATACTGTTAAAGTTTTTCCATCTCCACCGTTCTAGGGCGGATAGAAACAGTTGCGGCGCCGCTACCCGGCCGGAAGACTTTGCACAGGACACAGCGGGTTGTACCACTATCCCAGATCTGCGGGGGGATGCCCCTCCCCTGCGATGAGAGGAAACAGCACAGTTCCCTTCGTGGAGCGGATGCTTTAGCTCAGAGGCTCTTGAAATAGGTTTGTGTGGGTGGGGGAATTTTTGTTTGGCCTTCGAGGGTGCGGATAGGAAGCTTGGCTTCTTTTCAGCGTTGTTTCCCCCCCTTGGGTAGAAGTGGTAGTTTCCGGCTTCCAACATGGCGGGAGCTTCGCCCTGGATTCCCGTTTAACGGAGTTCCGTGCGTCCGCCTTCTCCCGGGTCCGGGGACCGCCGCGCAGTGAGCCCGCTGCGCCCAAGCCCACACCATGAGTAATATCTACATCCAGGAACCGCCGACGAATGGCAAGGTTAGGGAGGGGGTAACACGAGCAATCATTCTCTCATACTGAAATTTTGGTAAATTGTAACTACTTGGATTCAACCTGTGAGGATAAATTTAATGTAATCTATGATATTTTTGTTTATCTATGTGGTCCAGATTGTCCTCAGTGCACACATTTCTCAGTGTTCCAGAGTAAGGAGAGTTTACTTCTCTGAGAAATTGGAGAAGTCAAAATGGAAATTATTGGAAAAGTGAAAATGGGCTTTGTTCTGTGCTTGGTGGCCTCAAAGGACTCAGACACTACCCTCCTTTTTTAATGTTGTTTATCAAGGAATCCTGGCTTGTCTGGAACATTAATAGAGCTGAAAGTGAAGAGATACTCTGTTTCCAACCTCTGACCAAAATGTAGCTTTGGGAATTGGGGACTGCCTGTGGTTGCCACTCCAAACACCAGGTCAGGTCAGCCCCAAAGCTGAGTAGCTGCTGCCCTCGGAAAGGGTCTTCTGATGAAGATGCTATACAGATGGCACCACACTCCCCCTAAAACTCGCTAAAATGTATAAAGGCAGGTCACCAACGTGCTGGGGATGTAAAAAGGATATAAGGTCATATTTCCATATGTGAACTGTGTAGTTATCTGTGAATTTTGGAATAACATCTATAGTCAACTTTAAAAACTATTTAAATTTACATTTAAAAAAAGACCAGAGATCTTCCTATTAGGAATACTATCAATAGAATTCAAAAAAATATATAAGACCATTGTTTATGTACGCAATCATGGCAGCGAGAATAATAGTGGCAAGAAACTGGAAAAATTAAACCTTACCAACAATAATAGTGTGGCAAACTCTTATGATAGAATACCTGCAACTAGCAAAACTGATGGGAAGAGTCAGAGGAGTGTCAAACCAGAAAGTATATGGAGAATGGAAAATATTTAGAGAATATCTAAAATTGTACTGTACAAACAATAATATACTTGCAGAACTAGATTGATACTTGTAAACAAAAAGTGTATTAGATATCATATCGGATTATATATTTATAAAAAATATGAAATAGTATAAACCTGTGCAAGAAAGTATAGACAATATAAGCAGTATAATGAGAATGACTGGAAGTTTTACATTTTAACTTGTTTTTTAATTGTAATATATTGTATTTTCTTTATTCTTTTTTCTATTTTTATTGCTTTTACTTTGTATGATGTCATCTATGTATTTATGTCTGTGTGCGAAATCAATAAAGATTAATATTTTTTTAAAAAGGAAAGGGTCTTCTGGTGGTGAAGGTAGCCTCAAGATGGGAGATAATCAGTGACTGGCTGCTGACACTGTAGCAGGTGGAGAAAATGAAAGGATCAGGTGCACTTTTAGTATGAGAGGACTGTTGATTAGTGGAAGAAGTTGAACAATGGTGGGCAGCTATCGTTTGGAATAGTTCTGGCATTATCCATTGCTCCTGCGTACATTGCTCAGCAAACGTGACATGGATTTATATAGTTTATAAAGAAAACTGAGCAGCATGTGTGTGCTTAGACCCATTAGTGTGGAGTTTGGGAGGGGGTTACTTTGAATTGGTAAACCTTTTTGTAGATAATGTTGCAGGAAATGTTCTGTTCCCTTAATCAACGGGGATCTAGTTTAGCATGTTACACTTATATTTGGTAAACAGATTTTTTAAAAGCATGCCTTGTTAATGTGCTATATCAGTATCTCTTTTTTCCTCTAAGTCATAATAATTTGAACTGAAATATTTGATATGGTGTAGGAAAATAAATAAAGCACACTTACAGTTCAGTCTTTTGTATGGCTACACAGCACCTCCTTCCGAGTAGACATTCACAGGATCACACTGTTAATAGAATGTTCAATTCTATCGTCAAACAAATTTGAAGACTTCCTTGATTTTTTTAAAAATATATGTGACTGTTTTACAGTTTGTCAACATAATTGAAAACTTAATATGCTAATTCTAGCATACTAAATAACCTGTGCATTTATGTTTACTATATATGCATGGATGCTTGCCAGAGACAGTTGATTAGTGTTGCATTCTAACACACCCATTACATTACCACTTTGTTTTTTGAAATGCTGGAATAGGGTTGGTTGAGGGGAGGGCAAGGGTGGGAGAGCTCCAAGTTGCTAGTGACGGCATTTGTATGTGTGCTCTCATCTGTGTGGTGTCAGTTTCACCAACCCAGAGCTTGCCTGACCGCACCTCTCCCCATTCCTGTGAATACAGTGCCACCCCTACCGTAAGGGTATTGTTGCCACTCCTTGTAATAGAATCCTTTACCTGTACACAAAACTTACTCATTTTCTTGTTTTTAAGACAGTACGCAGAGGCAAGATGTATTTCTAGTGGCAGCCAGGAAAGTAGTTAAGTCTGCAGAATGCAAACCATACTTTCTAGGAGTACATACTGTATATATTTATAAAATAGACATATGCTCTTCTATAGGTTTTATTGAAAACGACAGCTGGAGATATTGATATTGAGCTATGGTCAAAGGAAGCCCCCAAAGCGTGTCGGAACTTTATTCAGCTTTGCATGGAAGGTAATGATTAAGACAGAAAATACCTAATTACGTTGTGCATGCAATTTAAGGCACCAAACATCTACAGGAACGCCTAGTCCTTCAAGTGGTGTGTGTGTGTGTGGACCATTAAATAACCTATTTGTAGTCTGTTGCAGTTTTCCACTATTTACCATGATTGGAACTAGTCTAGGGCCTCCCTTGGCTTGCAGGTTTCTCCTATGGCGTGACCATAAGGAGGACTTTAATTAATTCATCTGAACCCAACAGTCTTCTGTTAACTCTGGTTTGTTTAATGCTGATTGTTTCAACAAAGCATAGTTAATGTAAACCACATTTTAGGTTTTGAGTGTAACAGCGCACTGTGGTTAATTGAAATCAGAAGCAAAAACTTATAACCTCCTTGTGGCTTCCTGGAAGAGGTGATGTGAATGATGAGCATGTGGAAGGGACAGGCTGGGCTCATTCCTTGCACAATAAACCACGGTTTATCGTGATGCCCAAATGCAGCGACTGTCATATTGATTGGTAGCCAAGAGTCATAGTTAGAAAAACAGACAAAAGCAGTATTTTAAGATATGAAAACAGTATTTTAAGATAACAGCAGGCATCTGCAGTGTCACTCCCCAGAGTCAAGTGTCTCTGCCTCATGTGGCTGGCCACATTTGCTCCTCTCCTCCAAACTGCATTACAAGTAAAATAAAAATCCATCTTTCATCTAAGCACTCTGCACTTGTAACACCACTTAATAGAAGTGGACCCATTTCTCTTGCATGGAGGAGGTTTGGATAAACAACGGGAGAAACACTTAATGTTTCTTTGATCTCCAAAATTACATGCAAGTGAAAGACGACCTCCGTTTTCCCTTAAGTCACCTGATAAACTCAGGGGGTTTAGAGAGGATTCATTTTAGTTTTAAGGAGGGTCAGAGAACCTTGGGAATCACCTCCGTTGTTTCTTATCCAAACTTCCATGCAACTGAAGCAAGACTCTGCCTTTCTCTCAAGTCCTCTGAGATTAGCAAAGGGCTTGTGGGGAGATTGGGGTTTCCCTCACTTGGGATGCAGTTTGCAGAAGGGGTAAAGCAGCAGTCAAGTCACCTGCACTTTCCTTCCTTCTCTCCTTTCTGCTGCAGTATGAACTAACCTCAGCCTCTTCCCAAAGTCCTGTGTGCATGTGCTAGAGAAAGTGGGGAGAGCTGGTAGTGAGGACTAAGAGAGGCTGGCTAGTAAACCAAGCCAATACAGTAGTACCTTGGTTTACGAACAGTCCTGTTAACAAACTATTCGGTTTACGAACTCCGCAAAACCGGAAGTAGTGTTCTGGTTTGTGAACTTTACCTCGGTCTAAGAACGAAATCCGAATGGTGGAAGGGCACCAGTGGTGGGAGGACTCACTAGGGAAAGCACACCTCGGTTAAGAACAGATTTGGTTTAAGAACAGACTTCCGGAACGGATTAAGTTCATAAACCGAGGTACCACTGTATTTGTGGACAACAGAATTTATTAACAGTATTAAAGATAATCCTTTTAAATTTCGTAACTGAACTAAGTGGTTTTGGTAGTTTGGGTTTTAGCTTCAAAATTAGCATATGCAGCTAATTTTAAGAGGAGAGATATTTTGAAGGAATAAAATTTTGGCGAGAAACTAGAATGCTGTTTATAATGAAAGGTATACAGTCCATGCTAGCTACTCTAATGCCGGTTTTCTTTTCAGGTTATTACAACAACACAATATTTCACAGGGTTGTACCTGAGTTTATAGTGCAAGGAGGAGATCCAACTGGTACTGGGTCAGGAGGAGAATCTATCTATGGGGCCCCTTTCAAGGTAAACCTCTGTTTTCAGTGGGTTTTATTGTCCACTTATTCCACTGCTGTTGAACTTTGGTTAAAGATTTAATAAATGTCCCAGCTACAGTTAGCTGCCCACCCCATGCACACATAGCTTGCAGTAGGCCCCATTGCACTTGGTGGGATTTGTAAAAGTGTGTAGGATTCAAACGTTAATCATTTTTAATTCCCTTTATTTCTTTGTGAGATAATTTGAGCACATGAGATTTGAGTCCTATTGAAACTGGCAGGACTAAAATGAC